ACTTACGGAACATGGTCATGTACTGCAGAGGCTGCAGTCCCCAGCTTCCCCACAGTGTTTTATATCCATGACTACGCGCATAGCTCCCCAAGTTAAAGGCTGGTTCAGTGCCAAAAGAGTCCAGGATTCTGAAGCGACACCTACAAAAAAAAAGGTTAATCACAAAGTGTTTCTTATATTTATACACATGGTTTGTCTGCTAATGTAACACTTTAATGTGTAACTTTTGATCACATTTGTCTTTTATTTGAAGGCGTACGATGTGGCTATTTCATTTATAATTACCATTAGGTAAATGTCAGGGTTTTTTAATCTTTATCCCAAAGACCATGAAACAGACTTGTGGCTCATTGCAAAAACTCTAAAACTGTGTAAATGTAAAATAAAGATGCAATATTATTTAGAGAATATGGAACCGTATATCGATATACTAGAGACATAATTATGTATTTAGAAAATTGTGGTTGTACTGGTAATGCAGGAAAGCCAGGCCCATGGCGCCATGAAGGTGAGCAAGGCCGTGGTAGTCCGTGTAGATGAGGTCAAAGGTCAGGGGCCTCTGGATTGGACAACTGCCTCGGCCTGGCGCAGCACCTATCAGGCTGGACCAGCCACAATAAACACACGTCACACTACTAATTCTTCAGCATTGATCTTTTGACTCTCTACAAATCAATTAACTATTAAAATCCTTTTTTTTTTTTTCATATATGTAGTCAGTACTTTCAAAGTATACATAATATTTTGTGTTAGGTGAAAGTAACTAGTGGACAGTGGAGCTAACCTCTGGAGCAGTTGCTGTGAGGTACTGAAGGTTAAGTTGTGGCCCAGGATTGTCAGACAGGCGCTGAGGTCGGCCCACTGGACCAGCTCCCCTAGAGGACCCCCTCTATCCACCAGGGCCTCAAAACGCTGGCCAACACTGCCAGCCAGGGCCCCAGGATAAAGCAGCACCTAGAGGATGGGAGGTTATAAAGTCCTGAATCCATCTTTAATGGATGCCAACATGGCAGTTTAGTAGAGACAACAGTTCATAATACATTCATAATGGAAGTGAGTTTAGAATAAGTGTAAGTTGAAAACTAGATTTTTGGTAATATTAAAAATCGGTACACTAAAAACCCTTTACATAAACATTATGGCCACGCAGGCATGTTTTTGAAAACCTCTAAATGTAAAGTCTTGGTGTTTATACCCTCATCTGGGCCGAGACTGTCTTGTTGCTGCTTTGCCTCATCCTCAGAGCAGCCTGTATCCACCGCTCGGACATCCTTTCCACTCTGGACCGGATGAAGTTCACGGCAGGACCGCTGCTGTTGCTGATGACCTCATACAGTGGGCTCATAGTTGTACGTATCTCAGCCTGTGTAAAATCACAGTATTAAACAAGGAGGCAGTGCGACGTGTACGGCAGATAGAAATGATAGTAGAGTCGTGTTTTAGTAGAGTAGATCATGAGCTGAATAGTTCTATAGTGACACGCTAATGCTAATGGCATTAGCGTGTTGTGTTCGTACCTTCTCTGTGTAAGAGTGAGGTTTCTGGTGCCATGGCAGTGCAGAGTGGTTTCTTCCAAGACGAAAGGGACAAAAGTCCTCTATTTGGCTAAGGTATGTCAATATGGAGCAGGTGGTACCATCCACCCCATAAAAGGCATAACAGGGGTCTGACTGCCAACGAGCCCGCAGGAACTGCCAGAGAGACAGATGTTAAATCAGACAAAATAACGAGCCACATTTCTGGTGATGTACAGTATAAATAACATACATTATATACATGCTATATCCTAACGCCCATTATTTTAAAATGGTATTTCTATAATCAGCTCATATACCGTGAACTAAATACGAAACATAAAACTTTAAGTCGAGGTAAGCACTTCAATGCAACCATAACGTTGCGCACACAGTGTCATTAGGTTCATGCTACCACATATATTTCCACTTTCTCACCTCCACTTTCTCCGCACATACCGGATACGCACGATCCATTGGCACCTCACACTTCTCGTTGGGTCCTGTGGGTGAGATATTAGCCGTCACACAGTTTCTCTTTATGTGGTCATTTTGAATGCATCATTATACCACAATCCTTGCTTTAGTAACAGAAAGCACATTGTGGAGTTAATGAAGAACAGTGGACAATAACTCTGATATACAACCTCTCAACTGAAATGTTCACAATGAATGGCAGCCATCAGCACGATGTATAGTGCTGCCATGCGTGTAAGAGGCATTAGAGTAGAGGCAGTGTGTTCTCAGAGGCCCTTTCCAGTAAGCCCCCCCACCCACCATCTCTAGCCAATGTCAATCATCTGGAATGAACGAACACACACACACACACACACACTGACACACACCTGACCCACCTGCCTCCAACCAAAGATATCCTTTTACAATGCAAATTCTTGCCAAAATACGCAGTCCTTAGCTATGTAAAACAACATATTAAAACAGAAAAGAGAGAAAAAAAGATAAGAAAACCCGAAGTGAAGGTGTGAAAGCCTAAAAACAGTGATATGCTGTAGGAGCACAGCAAAAAAAGAGGAAAAAAGTGCCCCTTCTGCAAAAACAAGAATATGAGTAGACAAGTTGGTGAAAGGACTCCTGGGTAATTCAGTCGTATTTTATGGGTGTGAGGTAATGTGAGATGGAGGAGGGTAAGGGGCGAAAAGGCTGGTGATTGGGAAGTGTGTTGTTTATGTTTGCGGGTGGTATGTGTGCACATACTGCATGTGTGTACCCTCGCATATAGACAGTGTGGTGTGTGTGGCCCAAGTTTTATGAATTCCCTTTTTCAGGAAGGGAGGAGAGCATGTAGCCACTCATTCTCTCACACACACACACACACACACACACACACACACACACACACACACACGACCCCTCGCGTGCCAACTCGGGTGCATAACCCGACTCTCACCTGACACCTCTCATGAGGGTCGTAGTGTAAATGTAAACTTTTTTTCCTCCCCACGGCCAGTTGATCGGCACTGGCTCTGAGGGACTTGTTAAACTTCTATTCAAGGACTTCATTCCCCATAACCACCTGCACCAACTGCCCTTTAACCCCCCTATTCACACCCTCCATTACCACAGCTTGTTAATTTCACTGTGTGGTTAACCTCCATTGAGGCTATGAACCATGCATTTGGCTCAGAGTATCACACTACCACTGCAGTAAACCACAGAGCAGTTATTGAGGCTGGCAACATGTTGGGAGGGGAGAGTGTATTTATTTGGTGTAGCGAGAATGTTAAAGCATATTATAACTGGAACAAACCCTAAAATCTCTGTTTTGTCTTTGGACAATGAACTGCTTCTAGTATTGTAAAATCAAAGCTAAACTTGTAAAGGTCTGTATGTCATAGCCTAATACACGTCTTTTCGGTCTAAATCTCACTTTGGGGCCCCAGTAGTCTGATCTAAACCCCACAGATCCTCCATATCTGCTAAAATCAAATTCTGTCTTTGGGTAAGTACCCGCATGACATGACAAATCCACACTATAAGAGTAACATAGAAAACTCCTAAATCCCCCCCCCCCCAAAAAAAACCCCAGAGAATATAATTACATACATCATTTAAGAGAGATTAAATGTGATGAAGGTCTGGGCTTTACCTGCGTGTGGTCTGAGGTCATGTGTTGGAGTGTGAGACTGATGGCGAGGGTGTGGATGACGGCTGAGCTGGTCAAGCCTCTGAGACACTCTCTTCAGCTCCCTCTCCACCAGGCGGGCTAAACCTTGCTGATCCTGTCTGAAGCTGAAAAATAAACCCACGTGTAACCACACTGCCTGAACAAATACAATAAGTTATATTCTGTTGTTTCTATATGTTCAAACTATACAGATACCTTTGCAGCAACAGACTGAGATCATCTTTGGTCAGCTGGGTGACCTGACCGCTCTCTCTGCTCAGCCTCTGCACCCGAGTACTCAAAGCCTCCAAGCGAAGCGCCAGCCTACGAAAGCCAAGACCACGCTGACCTGTGACATAAAGAACATACAACATGGTATGTCATCTACGTACACGGTATCATATTCTACCCCCTACCATGATGTTTAAGTACTAATACTTTGTATGATGTCATGGCAAATCTTGTTCTGTGTCTCATGAAACAGCAGGGTTATGCAATTATATTTTCTTAACCTGATCTGCTGCAAACGAAGCAGAACATTATGGCTGTGTGTATTTTCTGTGTTGCATGTGGGGGGTAATGGCATGTAGTCATATTTATAGAGGTGCCGTTTCCTGAGGGACTATTTATATGGCGGATAAAGATGTCATAATTTCTGACAACAAAATATTTCTGAGTGTTGCTGGAGCTTTGTGGTCATCTCACATTGCTTTGTGGTTTCAGAGCCAGCCCAAACACACACACACACACACACACACACACACACAGGCACATACACTCATACAGACATACTGTATGTTTTTTGTGAAAGTTTCCACTGACGCCTCCATGGTTGGAGGTTAAACTAAAATTGCTGACCTCAAGCTATTTACAAAGAGCACATTTACATTGATTTCCATCAGGTGCATTCATTAACCTGGCGGTTCCCAACCTTTTTGGCTTGTGACCCCTTAAACCTATGCAACATCTCTCTAACAGGAATGACCTTGATGCAGAAATGAGTTGTAAGCATGTTCAGTTTTTCTTAGCTTTCAGAGGCCTGAAGAGGTGAAAAAAACTAAAATTGAATATATGAATATCATTTTTAATATGTATTTTTCATTCATATTTCTTTGATCACATTTTCACCTGTAAGATTTATCTTTCCCCAGGTCTGTAACCAGCCTTAACCAATAAAGAGTATTTAAAGAAAAAGATGTTTTGCTATAAAGCCTTATGTTGGTTACAGTGTCTACTACAGTATATAAGTTATAACAGTTGGGGTTTTTTTTTTTTTTTTTTACATACAAAGTTAAATGAAAACTATCCAGTACCTCTTGTGTTGTGTTGGCTAACCTGAAGTAGTGGTGTTCACAGTAACACAGCTAGTTACCAGACATACCATAACTCTATGGACCATAACCTGCTGGAGGGGCTTAGAATGAGCTATTTGAGATGGCATATCAAGGATGTCTCCACTGGAATCATCTGTATGAGGCAGGGAGGACTGTTGAAAGAGTTATGCTGCCTGTGAATGAGGAATATTGAGTGTTTTGTTGGAGGGGTTGCTGGTAGTGTTGGGGTTGCTTTGAGGTCACAGTAAGGATCTCCTTGGGGATAGAGCTATAACCTGCGGTACACAGTAAAAATCCACCAGACTGGTGATGTCACTTCATCACTGTTTGCTCAGCATATCACTATGCACATGCCCAGGGGCCCTTTGGGCACAGACGCAATGAAAGATGAATGGGAGCGACGAGGTGGGATCCTGTAACAACTTAATGCCAGTTGTGTGAGATAACTATATGACCAAATCATTTAAAAACTCGTAAAAGTACAACTAACATAATTATGTATGAATGGGTATGTGTGTGCAACCCTTACTTACTTGTCATATCCATATTAGAAAATATGTTTCTAATATTATTATTTGTAACGGGTTGTATATGGACCCAAATGCAACACAGGATTCCAGAGATCTTTGGCTTTTATTGCTAACTTCAAATATAGCAGGCAGAGTTCAAACAGGGTCAGGATCAGAAGGCTGGTGGGTTTACCGGGAGTCAGGCAAGGCGGGTAAAACAGGGGCAGGCAGGGTTTCCAGATACGGCAGGCAGAGTTAATCAAGATCAGGAGGCGGGTGGGTTTACCGGGAGTCAGGCAAGGCAGGTAGAACAGGGGCAGGCAGGATCGGTAACAGGAGAGCAGTCCGTGAGAGTGTGCTGGAGAGTCTGGCATAGAACCGAAGAACAATCTGGCAAATGTGTCTGGGAGGCAGGAGTCTATATAGGGGCTTGATTACTGATCAGAGGCAGGTGAGTGAACAGGTGAAGGGAGTTTAGACTAATGAGGAGGGAGTGACTGACAATAAGAGTGAGGAGGGTGTGGAGCTGAACTGTGACAATTATTATATTAATAAGTTGTTTCTGCACATTGTAAGATCTCACGGAGACAGAAATGTATGCAGCACAAAGGCCCTTATTATGTGTTTTCAAAACACAATAATATGTTTTAATGAAATGATAATAATCTATGAACTTCCTTTATATCAGAGCCAACATATTTAGTTTTCATAGAAGAAATCTGGCATTTTAATGAAACAATTCAGTTGTATGTCATTAATATCATCCTATTAAAGCCTTTTCCTCAAATAATTAGTACTATAGTGGCGTAGTATAGTATATCTTATATATTTTTATATTATTTGATGTGTTATGTTTTATCCATGTATTTTGACATATATATTAAACATTATATGAGTATATACAGTATATATATATACTCATATAATGTTTTATAATGATGTCTGTGTAATGGTTTGATGGTTGCTGGAGGGTGACATGGCAGATTTTCTGCGTTGTTTTTATGTTATTCCGTTGATTGTTTGAAGCATGCGATGCTGTGTGAATGGACAATAAAGTTTGAACTTATTTTATCTTGTGATGTTTCACAGAGACTGGTTGAAACTGAGTATTCGGTCAATTGTAGCTGGATTAACGGCACGTGCTGACCAACAGCTTCCCCCGTGTGGTACATTTTCCAACACAACCATTGGGTGGCTCTTTGTACACGACTTGTCCTCAAAGCGCAGAGCAACTGTGGGTCTGTGGCTGAGATGCACCAGTGATTTATATTGTCTGCTAAAAACTATTTTCCTAGAATTTGAGAAGAAAAGGATCATATATTTTGATAAAAAGTCTTATCGTGATTACATTTTGAAACTGATTTATTTAAAGTCTGTCACAAAAAGTGTGCTTGTTCTGTCTTAAATCAAGCCTGTGTATCTGGTTATTAACCCTCCAAAGATGGCTATTTTTACTGACTGTGGAATTAAATCATGTGCATGAATGGGTTTCTATATGACTTCAGCCAGTTCCATATAATTCAGAAGTGAATGAAGTTCCTTTGAATTAAGAAACTTCCAAAAACAAACAAATGCAACAAAAAGTAAAACATCAGAAATTACTCAAATGATGCAAACAATGTTAAATATTAAATCAAGTTTCCTGTCAAAAGAGTGGAGCTCGCTGAATCTAGTACCATGCTCCTGATGATGTTTAAGAAGACTTCTGGGAGAGGCACAGTGCCAGAATATGCTAATTTATTCCTTGGGTGCAAAAGAAAGAATGCTGATTTTAGGGAAAAACATACTCTGCAGGAGATTGTTAACATTGCCACATCTTTGTAAACCAGCAACAAAGCTTTTGCCCAAACAACCCTGTCTCCTGCCCCCTTAAATACCCTCCTTTAGGGAAACAGCTTAACCAGACAATTGAGTTTAACAGGGGTATCTGTCAGCCACATGGGAGGACCCACTGTGAATTGTGTACAAAGCTTCATCTTACATTGGAAACACAGTCAGATGAGGTCTTATCAACCAGAGATACAGTTATTCTCTCCAAAATAAAGAATACTGCTGCCCTATTTCCCCCAATCAATGCCTACTGTGAAGACACCACTTCTGGCTGAGATTATGTGTTCATGTATGTTGTTTATTCATGCCGTGTGGCACAAACACCATTGAGGCTTACCTTGTTCCTCAGGTGACCTCCCAGCAGGTTCATCCCTGGTCATCTCAAGGGGCACCCAGAGGCTTTGTAGCAGCAGGGTGAACACAGACAGGCACAGGCAGAGCACCAGGCAACCACTAGAGGGCACAATACACAGAGGAACCTCTTGAAATGCTGCAGCAAACAGCATACAATACATCAGTGGTTCCTATGCAGTGGTACCCCATGAATCAAGGTAACACAATTTAGACACAAGTTGTATTTTGTTACAATATTTTTAATTAAACTGTCAATATTTAAGTTGGTTTGGCCAAGTTTGCATTCGTACATATACCTTGTCGTGACAGAAGCTTAAAGTTGCAAGCATTTATCCATATCTTTAAGCTAACGATATATGAAATGTATTCATTACTTTTGACTTCACATGTTTGATTTTAAGAGCGGATCTCATGCAATAAAAAACGTACAGCCTGACTTTGCCTTTCGCCAAATGCCTTGAGAATGTGGCGAGCTAAATTGTTCCATGACTTCACGTGAGGACCCTGGTGTGTCAAAACAAATATCTGAAGCGTGACGTGCCAGCATGGCGCGTATCTGCTCGCTGCTCACGTGGGCTCCCATCGTCGGTTTAACTGGGGCAGAGAGAGCAGCCACTGAGCTCTCGCTTTCACCGGGCCACTAAACCCACCAGCCCATACCCAAATGAACACGGCGTAGCCAAGCTTTAGTACATGTGCAATCCTATAGTGCCTATAAAGCTCCAGATCCAGATCCAAACAAATTATTTCCATTTCATTCTTTCATACTGCATTTCATCAAAGCTGTCAGAGCACTCATCACTTTGGTTGAGGGCATTTACAGCATGGAAAAGGATCAGAGCTGAGATCATTAAAAAAGCAGAATACTTTGTGATAGTTGGATATCTACTGCAAGTGATGTAAAAGGGAAGATTACAACTATAATCAATTACTCATTGGGCTGGGCTTAGTCAACGAGCTTAATGTTCACTGTGAGGTGCCACTCAGACCAATCAGCTAAAATAAGTAAAGCAAAATCTCAGTGCACACTGCAGGGGCATGCAGAGGCAGGCGTGGATGAGGCGCGGTGCATCGCTTTCTCTCTACTGCACATTTGAACCACATCCTGGCCTCTGATCTGACGTCGCTGAGCCTTACCTGCGTGGCCGCAGTGCAACATGCATGGCCCTCTGTTGACAGGATACTGGACCTCACTGTCAAAACAAGGACATTGCAAATCCCAGTAAGTTCAACATGCTTCAACAGCTCAGCTTACAAGACAAACCAGCACATGGACAACCACACACAGAAACACACATCCTCACCTCCTTGGGTCTCCGTCCCAACCCACTGGAGACCATCAGGCCTATTTTCAAAACACACAAGCTAAATATAGCTAATATAGTTGGGGCTGGAAAGTATCTTGCCTCCTTTTTTGTCTCTTCGCTTTCTTTCCCTCCTTCTCTGGCCGTGCCTTTTCTCTGGCTCAGGGGCTATGGGTAGGCATCCTGCAGTTGTCAAGGTAACCTGACTCCCCTTTAAAGAAAAGAATAGCCAGAGTGCTGCTTAGGCCTTTCACGGATACAATGGAGCCCACGCTATTGGGTGACACAGTTTCTTTCAGTCGCGCTGGCTAGACTTAAGCCTTGCTTGTGAATTGATACTCAAGCAGGGAGCTCATTTAAATAGCTCAAATGGTGCAAACCTCTGGCCCTAAATGACACAATACAGACAAAAGACAGTACAAATTTAATGGCAGTAACAATAGTCAGCATAATAATAGACCCAAGAAAATACCCACTGGACACTTTATAGATAACAATTAAAGTTAAGTTAAGATGTAAGTCGGACTTACTGTGTTGCAAGACAGTTGTCAGATAATTCAATCAGACAGCAAGTTATTTCTTTGGAGGTTTAAAAGTGATTGTCAGTGCTAGAATGACAAAGTGTGAAAGAGAAACCATAAGTTATCAAAGGGTCTCACAAGTGTGTTTTCCTGAGACTCAACTGCTTTTATTTTAAGTCTCAATGCTGGTTTATTAAATCACGCACAACTTGCCCTTTTGATGACAAATGGAAACGCCCCACAGATTGACCACCGAGCAGAGTCCGCCAGGTACCTGAGGAGGGCGCCATAATGCCAAGGTGGTCTTGCTGAGAACCTGTACTGGAAGGTAAATAAGAAAAGGAAATACAGCTAAACCAAAAATGTTGTCCACTGAATAAATATCCAACTGGGAACTCAAATCAAAGCAAATAAATTCTACAAAAACTAAAATACAAATACAAAGAAATGACAGAAACAAAAATGTAATTGTGATCTATTTAAATTTGACTTCCGAAAAGGGTGATCATGAGAATGAACATGCAACAGTAATTAGGAGGACTGCAGATCACAGTGCCGTACAGCATGCCAAAAGTTACACCACTTAACTAATTAACAACATCCCATTTGGATAAAGAAAGATTGGGCACTGCAGTCACTGAATCAGCGATGATACAGACGGGGAGTGCACCAATTTATAGGCCATGAACACAATTAGCAGTAGAGACTTAAGGGCCCAGATGCCACATCCACCTCGCCTCACTGCGTCAGCAGCCACACCTTTGAACCTTGATTGGCTGACAGCACCAATGTCAGTTCAGGCTAAACCTGCTGAGGGGGGGGGGGGGCACAGGAAGTCTACTGGCTAAAATTGGACTCTACAGCTCATACTGGGATCTATGACTTCAAGAGCTATACAATTTTTAAGATTATAATAATTATTGATCAACTCTTGATTATGTTTTCTAAATAAACTAATCAATTACTCTGACAAATGCCACTCCCATCAAATCTTTGCTTATTTCTCTGACAAACTGTAAAAAAAAAGATACTCAATCAATTTGAAATGATAAGAGCAAAGAAAAGTAAGCAAGTCCTCACATTTGAAAATCTTTTACTGTAAATAATTTTGTTTTTACTAATTTACATGGATTATGGATTAGCAAAATTAGTATCCATCCAGTTGTTTGTGGATAAACCTTTATTTGTACTTTATAGCTGCAAAAAACAAGGACAATTGCTGGGAGACAGTAGAATTGAACACTCGCTTTGCCTGCACACATTACTCTTTCTGTGTGAGGACGATTCAATTATCCAACCTCATTGTATGTTTACCATCTTAATTAAGTAGTTTGGAGTAAAAGCCTGTTCTTATAGTGCGTGTTTACAGGATACCACTGGAGTATCTGGTCTAATTCTTAATCTAATCTAACAGGATTTGTCCGATCTGCAGGCTAGTTCTGATATGAAAGTAGTGTTTCAGATCCTTGTGTTGTCTTATGTGTTATACATAGATTATGTATGTAGAGAGTGGGTATAAAGAACTCTGTGCACATCTATGCCACTGTGCATGTGTGCACTAGCATGTCCATGAGAGATAGTAGGACGGGGAGGGGCTACTGGAGTGATGTCACGCAGGGAGCGGGAGGATTTGATGAGCATAAACCTCCATAAGCTCTTATCTCTTTACCTTCATAAGCTCTCTCTCCTGCTCTCTCTCTTTCTCTCTTTCACTCTCACACAATCGCGGACAATCCCTCACACTCACTCGTATTTTTTCCTGATTCCATGATTTTTTACTCAATTTCCCTCATACTCACTCACAAATACACCAACAAGTGCATGCACACACAAATTTCATATAAAACACATGCATTTTGTGTTACTGTACATGATTTCTCTTTTGAACTGTGGAGACAAATGAAATGTGAATGATATCGATCCTGCAGATTATCCTGATCATGTGACATGGTTGCAGCTCTCGTCTTTCTAGCCCACTTCGGTGTCAAATTGATTAACACGGGCTGTTTAAAGTAGTCTGAGATATGATGAACTTGTGCATCTTCAAGACAAGCCTCATCCAATAGCATGAAGAAGTCTATACTTTTGTGTAATGGATGCTGAGATGTGGATGGATTTCTCTTGTATTATTTTGGGTGGGAAAGTAACTCCAGCTTCCAGCCAAATCCTGCTAAATCTTTTGCTAAAACTGAAAGTTGACTTACTCTCTATCACACATCAGCATATAAGGCACATTCTTACTTTTCTATTACGCAGTACTAAGAAGGTCACAGTAAATGAGGACATGAAAAACATCAGCTGTGTTTGAGAGGGACAAGGCAGGGCCGAACAACATTTTACCCTAAGTTGTTCTGGAAGGCAATGATGGTTCCACAATTTAATTATCGGTAATAACTGTCATGTGTTGGGCGGTTGTGTTTTGACGGTTGCTTTGAGTACAAAGGCAGGGTTTGTTGCCCTTGCTAGGGTACTTCCTGTCCTGTCTCCTGCCATCACTTATTTAACAGAGCACGTCTGCAAGTAAACAAGAAAAATCACATACTGGGATTTTTTTTATGCCATGCAGATAAAATAGAATATGCCTTTTCAGTCATATTGTATACTAGATTTTATATAGGCTTTATTTATTGTATTGTGTGTGATGGCTTAATAATACACTACTGCTACTACTACAAAATCTTCATGGTCACCGCAGTGTAAATTGGCCTCTAGAAGTAAAGATGAGGCCTTTGGTGCACACAATAGGACATTATCATACTATTGGTGGTTTGTGGTATTCATATAACACTCCGGTATATGGAAGTGTGTGGAAACGTGTGTGTGCAATATGAGTTGTGTATAAGTAGGCCTAGTTGATATATATATATATGGAGCACATAAGGACTACATTGTTCGTATTTGTTGTTGTGGTTGTTTTTTATTCACAAGAGAAGTTCTTGTGAATTAACCAGTGTACATAGAAGTGGCAGTAAACAGTATATTTAACCAGCCCACCTGAGGCCCTCGCTGCAGCTGCACGCTCACAGACGCAGAAAGAGGTTGAAGGCACTGCGCATGCTCGAGGCAACTTCATATGAATAGTGCTTCACGTCTCAAGACATCTCACATCCAGGTAAGGATAACGTCAGTGGACTTGTTGTCAGTCGTTTATCGTTTGCTTGCCAGTCTTCGGTCGTGTGCGGTTGAGGTAAGTCTTGTTCCTATCGCCGGGCTTTGAGTTTTAAATGCATCGCTTTCACACAAATTCAAGCTGAAATCTCCCCACATCAACAAACTCCAAGACAGAAGACAGCCTGCGGACCACATTAACCAGTGGTTGGTACCATTCATGCTAGTTAACGTTAGCTAACATATTTTTGTGTGGTAGTTTTGGGAGATGTTGCATGGCTTCGTGTCTGTCCTGCGTGTAGTGTTGTCTTACTGCTAGCTTTTTGTGTCTGTTTAAGGTTTCGTTAGCTCCTTGCATGCACTGGCAGGAGCAGCGTGCGGCTAGCTAACGCTAGGAATGCTAACTTGGCAAGTTTTAATGGAAAAGGGTGTATCGGATTTACTCGGGCGGTAATGTTAAATACCCTGTGACTCGTGTGCACAGGCTACTATCACCTCTGCTGGTTAGCTAACGTAAATAAATACAAATACAGCTACGGCAGCTTTGCGTGCACTTGCAGCTGTCATTCCACCATGTGATGACACAGCTGTACCCGCAGCTACTGTAATATAAGGTGGCACAGACACTGTAACGTTGCCCACTGCTGTGCTAATGTCTTTGTATCTGCACTTGCTTTGCCTCCGAGATAAAACAATTCGTGATTCGCCCACAGCAACGTTACCTAACCACGTCTGTCCAGTTCTGCAGAGGTGCAGTTGAATGTGCACGCTCCAGCTTCCTTCTCCATTCAGTAACATCACATTAAGTATTTAGCTAAATTTGATAATCGATACGTCATCTTTGGATAGGTAACTTATAGCATCAGACGTATGAAAACAGATTTTGTAAAGGATTTGAGCAAAATGCATGAACACACGTTGAGCTGTCAGTGCTCATTCAATGCAAGATAGATTTAGACTCGTTGTCATTTGTGTTCATCCTGTAATGACCTGTATGCATTATGTCAGTAGGCTAACCTATTCCCAGGATGAGGACAGGAGGAGCATGAGGTTGTTGGTTTTGGCATCTTGAATTGCCTGAATGTTATCCTCTTGTAGACATTATGAGATAAGACTATATATTGGTGTAGTCTGATTCTGAGAATATATTTTCAGTCTACCTTTTTGACAAAGTGCATCCTGTGCTAAAGGTAAAACGCAAACATTGAGGTTAACATACCCTCAGGGTAGGAGCGTTAATCTCTCTACAGAGTCACCATAGATGCTTCCAGTTTTGCATTCAGTATTGTGTCGGTATGCACCTCCATGTGACTTGTTGGAAGGTAACGTGAAATGATCTGATGATTTTATGACATTTTTAGTATATTGCAAGTGATCTTTGGACATGCGTCTCCATGTGACTTGTTGAAAAACAAGTGACATGATTTGATGAGGTACGACAGTATCTTGTGGGTAAGCGGAAATTATCTCATTGTATGACTGTCGATTTCTAAATATATTGCCAGTCAACTTTTACAGCATACACACAGTTTTTATTTCTCTCACCACCAGAGATCCCAGTTTTAATATCAAACTTTGCCCGGTCAATTAAATCTGTCCACGACAAATTTGTGCATCACAGGACATGTGAAGTTAGCCTTGCACTGCATTCCATTCAAGTGAGGGGTTTACTTGATTTGTTTTTGCTTCAGATGACATGCATGATGTTCGGTGAATGCTCTTTTCCATTTGAAGATCTTAACAGCATACAGTACATCTGATTAGTGAAAATTGCTAATGTTGTTTCACAGTACAGATTTAATGTGGTCATTTTGCAAAGTATATGAACAGTTAGACTTGTAGGAATCCACCAAGGACTTGTAGGGTTTTGTACGTCAAAGAGAATTTCGAACGTGTATATATTTCTTAATTTGATACTGCTTAGGTTTTTTTCTATTCTCCGGTGCTGCTGAAAGTGACTGATTTTGACAGATTTTTTTAATCTCTTATTTTCTCACTTGTGTCTTCCAGTAACCATCATGGACAGTTAAGAAACATAGGCTGCTGCGTGGAGGACAGAAGTTTAGCAACACCCCGGAGCGTCCCTCCTCTCTTCCCACTGAGGCAGACCAGCGAGCTTCCATCACCATGGCCGAAGAAGACTATGGTAGCTTTGTGGACTGGAACCAGATGGGGGATCTGGCCAAGAGCAGCGGGCCCACCAAGGTAGACTGTCAGGACCTGAAAGAGTTCAAACAGATGGCTCGGCAGGGTTACTGGGCCAAAAACCACAAACTACGAGCACAAGTCTACCAGCAGCTCATCAAAGCCATTCCCTGTCGCACGGTTACCCCAGACGCAGAAGTATATCGTGACATTATGGGAAATGCAGCCACTAAGAAGCCCTCCTCCCACATCCCACTTCCAGAGTTTGTGGATGGAAGTCCTCTGCCGCGGTACTGCCTGAAGACAGAGGCAGTAGCCTCGGCCCATCAGATCATCAACTGCGTGGCTGGACAGTTTCCAGATATCTCCCACTGCCCGTCACTACCGGCAGTTACTTCACTGCTCCTGCACTTCAGCGTCGACGAGGCTCAGTGTTTTGAGCTTGTCAGCCGCATGCTGGCCTGCAACGAGCCAGGCAAGCGACTGGTGGACCAGACTTTCCTGGCCTATGAGTCTAGCTGCATGACTTTTGGTGACCTGGCCAACAAGTACTGCACAGCCGCCCACAAAATGATCGTGGCCACAGCCCAGGACGTGCTGGAAGTCTACTCCGACTGGCAGCGCTGGGTGTTGGGCGACCTACCTTTCAGCCACATGGTCAGGGTCCTGGACATCTACCTGGTGGAGGGTTACAAAGTTCTCTTCCGTGTGGCTATAGCCTTGCTCAAGTTCTATCGCAAGCATAAAGCAGAGGCCCAGGGAGGCCCGGGCAACCAGCAGCAGGATTCAAGCAAGGTTAAGGAGGACATTCAAGCTTTCGTCAAGGGCATCGCCTCCACCGTCACACCAGAGAAGCTGCTGGAGAAGGCCTTCTCCATCCGCATGTTTAGCCGTAAGGAGATCACGCTGCTGCAGCTCACAAATGAAAAGTCCCTGCAGCAGAAAGGCATCACTGTCAAACAGAAGCGGTATAGTCAATCATCCCATTTTTACGTGGTGAATTGTGAGCATTCTGCTAGTTTTATATCATTTTAAACTGACATTGACAAAAATGTCTATACTCTAGCATGCTCTGGGGAATGCTTCAAGTTGCTCCTGCATCCTTGCCTCACATTGTGTTCTTGTTTCCTCTTTGTTTGCTTTCTGCCATGTCTTTCCATCCACCATCTTCTGTCTCATCCGCACGTCACTCCTGTGTTTACTGCCTTGGTTATTTCACAGTCCTCCTAGGTGGGTTTTCTTCTCGATGCTATTCTCCAGATCCATCTATATTTCTTTCGAATAACGCTCATTTGCTTTCAGGTTTATGCATCGCCATCTGTGCGATCTGCCTCACATTCTGTGCCTCTCCATCTCTTCCCGTGTCTTGTGTTTGTGGGCGTCTCCAGGCGGAACGTGCAGCTGGCACTTAACCCCGACACCTTCTCCTCAGAGATCGTCAGTGCCAAGGAGATGCGGGACATCTGGTCGTGGATCCCTGAGCGCTTTGCCCTGTGTCAACCACAGCTCCTCTTCACCACCTCCACCCATGGTTGCAGCCTGACCAGGTACATTGTCCAGTGCTCACCTCAATATATTAATCCCGAGTCTTTGAATTTAATTTATGGCCAAAATTGCTGGAAAGTGTGCCTTTGTTTATCTACCAACCGATAGTTTAATCCATAGACTCGGTATAAGGTGCTTATGAAGTTAGTTGCAGTGAATTCAACTATTCCATTTTCCACCAGATTCTACTCTCATTGTGAAGGCTACGAACCCACTCTGCTCCTCATCCGGACCACAGATGGCGATGTAAGCAACACTCTCATGATTCCCACCATGTTGGAGGGAATTAAGGATGCATCCTGAAATAATGCAATTAAATATTTCTCGAATATATAGGCTCTCTGAATAGATGTCAGAGGTCATGATCAAAAGGTGTCATATGATTGGATTATGGTGCTCCAAACAGATCTCAGCACGAACATTGGCAGCTTGCAGAAAGCAATCTTCCACTCGTGTGAACTATTATTTTAGAGAATGATGCCGTTGCAGATGAGCAAAGAGGGTAAACACACTGATGCATATTGAGTGTTTTTTTTGTTTGTTTTACCTTTTAGGTATGTGGAGCCTTCCTGTCCACAGATTGGGAGGAGCGGAAAAGAGGAGGCAACAAATTGAGCTTCTTTGGCACAGGGGAGTGCTTTGTCTTCAGGGTGAGTACATTGAAGGGAGAATGATTTCATTTTGAGCATACAGCCACCAGAGGGCACCATCCACGCTGTTTTCACATGTTCCAGATTTCAGTGTCACTGGCCCCACTTGGCATGACAGGCTCCCATTTGGGAAAGCCGGCCTAGTAGGTCACAACTCACCATACTGGCTTTGCCATGTCCGCAAAAACAAGCACACATCATGCTTTTGAAGCTTTTCTGCTTTGAGCTTCGGGTTCTAACACCTGGGCTGGAAATAGCAGAACAGACTGGCTCTCTAATGCCTTCTGTATGAATTATTTACTGGGTATATCTGTGTTGACGCACAGCCATGGGCCGTCTGAGCCAAAGAAACACCGTCATCTCACACACTAATACTTAAGCACACACAGATTGGAAACTCCTGTAACCTGATCCAGTAGTATCTGATCTGGCCGTCACCTGACACCAGCTGAAAATGGAGATCGTCAGCAAGGACTGATGCCTGTCAGATGTGGTCTCATTGAGATCATGATCTCTTTTCTATTAATACATGTGCAGCACGACTTTATTAAATGTGTGTATTTGGTGATGAATGGCTGTTTCCCTTGTTAGCTGAAGCCAGAGATGGAGCGTTTTGAGTGGGTGGTGATCCGCCACCCTGAGTTAGCCTCCTCCAACAAGACTCAGGAAGACACAGCCTCTCCTGAGGGGCAGAACTCGGACAACAATGGCTTACAGCAGCCAGAGAAGCCTGCTGGAGGCCTATCGCCCTTCCTCTCCGCACGCCACTTCAACCTGAACTCCAAGAATACTTCCATGTTCATGGCTGGTAACTTTGACTCCATCATAGTGGGTGAGTGCATTGTTTTATTCTGTTATTGTTGTGTATTTGGCATTTCTGGTCACTTTTTTAACGTGGTATTTTTGTTTTTCTAAACACATGGGATCACATTTCACATGGGATTTCATTGTTAACCTTTCATTCCATTTAGAACTATAATTTGATTTTACAAGGTACTGTAAAAGTAGGAGAGTCTCAGGGTGGAATTTTGAAAACCATTTGCAGAAATACAGACTTTAGTATCTCGTCACTTCTACAAACTGTCTGCTCTTGTGTCTGCTCAGGAGGAGGCGACGGCAACGCTCTCTACATCGACTCTGAGCTCAACCACGGGCGCGCTGGCCGGTGCGCCACCTTTGACAACCCGCCTTTGTGTGCTGAGAGCTTCCAGGTTGCACTGCTAGAAGTGTGGGGCTTCCAGGACGCCATGGCCTCCTAATACTGTACACATAAACACACAGTACCCATGTAGATCCATACTCGTCTGCGCATATTCATGCAGACAAACTTATATTAACACAGAAAATCTTGACATAAAATGTCCGTCCTACAAATTCATATATGATGATCTATTTTTTATTTATTAATGCAGTTAATCCAAATTCAACATGTGATGTTTGTTTTCTGTTTATTTTTGTAATTACGGATTTGTATTATGGTGTGCTAAGTCTGTCAACGTGTCCGGTAATATGAAGGAAGTCAGGATCAACTGTCGATGAAGCAAACGTGAGCTTCATTTAAAGGTCTTTTTATGTTCATGTTGAGTTGAAACATTTGAATTCCTGAATGTACATTCAGTCTTTTATGTGCTGTGGTTTAGCACAATCTGCCAAATTAACTGTATAGCTGTCTCTGTGGCCCTTAAAAAATATTAACCAGGCCATGAGGTTAAAGATAAAAGGTGTGAAGTCGAGAGTTGATTTGGTGAGATGTGTTTTTAAATGTTGAAACTAAGATGAACGCAGTGAAGTTCCAGGTCAGCTGAGTTCTAAGTAAAATCCTGAATAATTTCCCCCCACTTTGATTTGCTGTACATGATGAATTAATGTGGTTCATGTTTGTGGGTATCAGTGGTGAATGTGATTGTTGCCATTTTGCACCATATGTCGAAGCTTTCTTTTGAATGAGTGGCAATTTCTTCATTTTTAAAAGTATATGAATATTCATGTGAATACAAAAGAACAGACTTTTAAAATGTTTATGGTTTGCAAGTAATGAAGAGAAATGCAGTTTGCTCATCCTTTCCTGCTGCTGCCGTCCTTTTGTAGGGTGAAGACCGTCGCACAAGAAGTCCAAAACTGTGGCCTGTTGGCGAAGTGTCGTTGGGGGTTATACACCCTGTTTGTGTCTGTGTGTGCGAACCTGTGCTCCAGTGAGACATTGAGTAACTACAAATGTATCTTACATGTGAAAATACAGCAATATGCTTTCAGTACAAGTGACTTGGTTTTTGTTTGTCTTGGTGCTACTCATTGCGGTTCTTCCAGATCTATCACATCTCTGTCCTTGCAAAGGGGAGGGGGGGTGACGTTTCTTCAGACTGTCACAGATGTGTGCCAGATGCCTTTTAAAGTCAGCTAACCCCTTGTATCCTGCTCTAGTCCTGGTAGTTACAGCTGCTACGCCTGTTAACCAAATTTACTGTGAAGTCACTATAGAACAAATGCACTGTTTAAATAGTATTGTAAAAATCCATGTCATGCAATTATTATATATTTTTTTATTAAATTGATGTCTTCTGTGCATCTATTAATACCAACACAAATTTCCAATTTTGAAAGATCTTTCCTTCAAAGAAAAACGTGCATATAGTGACACATTAACTTACTAGGGGAAACATCTTGGTTTAAACTAACGACAGGTTTTGAGTAAATGCATGAAATGTTGCACATTGCATATCTACAGTAGGAAGGTCTAACACTAACTGTGACTCCTAAATCACTCGTGCACACTTCTATTTTTGTTTGGATGTCTGCACTTTGTGGAAGCTGACAGTGAACGGCATGACTGGAAATATTTAACAGGGATGAGTCAGATAAATCTACAAATATATACGTAAAAGCCTCTTTCCATAGTCGGCTTTGCTGCATAATTTTTTTTTAATTGAGCTTATTGTTATTTCTATAAATTGTTTCAATTTGCAACTGACATCCTCCAATTAAATTTGTTTCAAACATATATGGGCAATTCATTTGCAGTGGGTGTGGCACAAGCTAATGCATCTGAAGCAATTTAGTATCTTAGCTGGCAACGTGTTGGAGTAATTCCTTCTTTACAGTAAGTGGTATTGACTCCGTGAAGCCACGCTGTTCATTCAGGATTCGCACTCAGCTAATCACACATGCACTTCTATATTTAGCTGCTCCTTCGGGTGTTGGTCTGGCGCATCTCCTGAAAACCATGCTTTCCAGCCTCATGGAGTAAGAGGCTTAAATCTTTAACCCTACACTGAGATGGGACTCTCCTTCAACAGCCCCCGCCAATCAGATAGCAAGGGGGCTGTGGACGGGGATTAAGACACAGACTAAGGAGGTCCTGACAAGTGTTTTTTTTTGTCTCACAGATTGAATATTTCAAATCTGGTTATTGGAAAGGAGGGAGGTCTCTGATTACATGTCACAACTAATCCTTATGAACTGTACATCATGTCCTACAATGACAACAATCATTTCAATTATGTCTTTAGTGCTAATTTCATGTAAGAAAGCAAAGATGTGCCATTAATGCAGGATTCAAGTTTCTCTATTTCCAAAACATTGGCATTTTTTTTTTAAGATTGGGAAATAATTGAGTTCTTTATCCCAGTGAGAATGAAAGACAGAGTTGTGTTTTCGGTCACATGCTGAAACCAGACCATAGGAAAAAATGCCTATTCCGAGTGTAGTTTAGCTCAGTGACTTCCTTTAGATCCTGGGCCTTTCTAACACACAGTTGGATAGAATCACATAAAAGTGTACATAAATGCTTTGCTGTGCATCCTGAACGCTATCTTGAATCGTCGTCTTGTGAGAGTTTCTCACATAGTTCCCCGTTTCCCTTCCTTAATTAAAGCACCATCTCAAAGACCAACCATCAAAAAATATGCCGTGCTCTTAAACTCTCCTTTTACAACCTTGACCAATGACAACAGCATTCACCTAATCCTATATCCATCCACCCGAAACAACAATGTGTAGGCTATCATATTGCTGCATGTTGTCAAATGAGATGGTTGCAAATGTCTGTTGAGTATGTATCCCAGACAGGAACATCATAAACTAACCTCAACAGAAAGGCTACATACCTATCCACCTATAAGAGTCGGCCTGGATCTATGAGTCAGTCAGCAGGGAAAGAGAAAACCAAGTGAAAATCATCTCATTCATTGTGACCTTTTTGTTATTAATGCATCACTGCACACACACACACACACACACACACACACACACATCCATTGCTCAAAATGATCTTTATTTAATTGCATAGTGCAACCTTGCATTTGGCAGCCGGAGTAAGATGCTGGTCGAGTAAAGCGTCTGAATGGAAGGAAGCCTGTGATGCTGCATGGTGTAGAAATTGCATCAGGAGTAGAGGAGCTGTACAGAGGGGAGGGGTCCTTCTCTGGTGCTGACTGGACAAGGCAATGCAGAGGGAGCAGAATGGAGGGAGGGGTGGAGGAAGAGACATGGGGACTGCACAAGCTCTCTCTCACTCACACACACACACACACACACACACACTTCATCACTCCCATGATGTCCTAGCTCCAGCGACCCCTCCTCTATCGGCATCTCTGAAACCTGCTCTTGCTGGGAGCTATAGATTGTAATGGGGATTCTCGGTTTCCTCCCCACACACACACACACACACACACACACTCAACCACAAACATAGCCTCAAATTCTCTCACTGTCACACTCCACGTTGCTGCATATCACAGCTGACTGTAAAAACCACCCTCTGCTGCATGGTAGAGTCCTGGTGCAAAATGCAAAAATGTGTTTGAATTTCAGTGGCCCTCTTGGAGAGGTTACTTTAATCAACTGTGAGGGTCTCTTGGAGGATGAAATTCATATACGATGTATAATTTATTAAGGCACTTGAAATAAAAGGTGTCTTGATTTTCTTTTCTCGATATGTACCATATCACAAATACCTATTTCCATTAGCCCAGCAGTGTCTCCACACACCCTCTTGCTTCTCCCCATCATTTGATCCCGTAGCTTTTGAAGGGTGAATGCGTTGGTATCAAAGGGGAAGCCTGCAGCGGAGCACACCAAAGTGATACCTGAGAGGGGTGACCTTCAAAAAAAAAAATTGTTTAAAAAGGAATAAAAAATACAAAACACTTTATTTTTACGGAATACGTTATTAATGTTTGCTAAATCCATATATCTTGTTTCATACATGCATCGTGTGGCACAGTATATTATTAATTAACTTAGTTTTAGTGCGCCCCCCACACCCAGGCAGTGATAGGTTTTATCCGTAAGTCAGGTGACATTTTCCGCTTCGCCATTTTGTGCTGCGCCGGGTATTTATCAGAAGAGTCGTGACTGTCCCGTTTACACTGCTAGTTAGGTTGTCAGACGGTTCCTGTTGTTACCCAGTTTATAACTTCAAGCCTGTGGCCTTTGCTGGGGTTTCGCTTAGTGTCATTTATTTGAGTCCAACAGCAGTAATTCATTTTGTATATTTAGTGTATTTTATATTGTGTGAGACAGAATGTCGGCCGAATCTCCCGAATACGCTCCGTTCTTCGCAGTGATGGGCGCCTCTGCGGCCATGGTGTTCAGCGGTAATTATCACGAGATCACCTTTCATATTCAAGCTGTTCGTTAGTTACTAAATGTAGACAGTGTGGATTCACTGCTAACACCTTCTGCGTTTATATCATTCACTACAGGGTACCTTGAATCTTTAACCGTGGTGCGTCTCTTGAAGCTTACTTGTGAAAGACATCCGCTAGCATCGATGCTAATCTTGAGCTGTCATATATGTAGACTTAACCGACAGTTTGGGTAGACTTTGATTAATCTTAATCTGACTGTTTTGTGAGTGTTGTAAATTTAATACAAGTATCGCTGCTAGCATTACTCCTTCAGCGACAGACCACAAAGACTAGTCATGTTAGCTACGTTAGCTGATGACGACTAACGTAACAAACGTTAGCTTTGACGTTAGCTTAGTTCGGTTATAGCATGTTAAGTGTGTTTTTTTTTTTTTATGTATTTATATATTTTGTGTTCGCTTTCTGCACTTAAGCAGACGATGTTTAGCTCTGTACTAATCGCACCTTTTCTGCCAGATGTCAAAAGTACTGCATGCAAGAGTACTGCATGTTATTGCGTGGAATTGGTGATACGTTTCTCACACAATTATTTAATGTAGAGACCATTAACCAACGAAATACGGTATTGACGTCGTTCTGAGTGGTGTTTGCTGTTCTACTACAATTTGCTATCTGTGAAGTAGGTGGTGTCACAACTTATTTAATGCAAGTTACACAAAAATCGCCTTTTCTTACAACTCTGATAATCAGTGTAACGCAGAATCGGCTGGTTAACTTCCTTATTGCGCAAGGGAATGACACAAGGTCACGTGATCATCACATGATGATCACATGATGAGACTTCTGATTTGGAATTCCCGTCTGGTCTACTGCTCGTGTATAACTCTAAAAGTTAGCAGTGAACCTGTTCAAAGTTATGATGGCTGATTATTTACAAAAAACATTGGTGTGAAACCACTGTTATCAATGTTTTGGATAGAAAGAATCAAGTGGCCAAGAAAGTGAACTTTGAAACTAGCTTTTATACTTGTTTTATGGATCCTTTACTAGTTTAGTAGACAAGTGCTACATCATATGGCGACGATATACTCACAGCAAAGGCATAGGATGAGGGTGACTGGTGGGAAAATGAGAAATCAACACACTAATTGACAATGTAGCAGAGGGCTTGACCCACCATAGCTCGAGGCCTTATGGCAAAACGTGCTTGTTTATGGTGGTGAACGGTACATCGTTTCCATTGGTGGACATCACCGGTGAATGGCTACCTTTAAAATATATGTAGACAGCTGTTTTCTTGCATTCTGTTCCCCTTTTATTTTGTGTTAATGCATGCATATTTATCTATAACATCTTTTAAACAAATGACATTGGGCTGCATGGTAATGACAAATCTCAAAAAAATAATTTCAGTTAAAGATTGCAGAAATCTGACCTGATTACTGCTGTTTGAGGTGTAAATGTTGGCCACACAATAAGGCATCTCTGCTAATAATATATAAAAGTCCCATGATGAGACTACATGACTTTATATTGTTTAGTCCAACCAGGAAATGAGAACCAGCTGACTGTTAAAACCAACCCTGATCTTGTCATAGCTCAGGTTTAATGTGTAGCAATGGGCAAGGGCAGCATGGCTGTGGTGTCCCATGAGGCTATAGCAGTAGTACTAGTCTGTGGTGGTGAGACAGTGACAGCTGGGGAATTAGCTTATAGGGAGGAGATCATGCTGGCACATAGAAGGGATGTTGTGGTGGGATTGATGGGGACACATGATGATTCAGACGTAAGTGTTAAGGATCTTCACGAGTTGTGGAGTCATTGATGGGAACCTGTAGCTGGTATTTCTCACAACATATACGGTCTACACCATAGACCGTATATAAGAAGTGGACGTAGTCATCGTGGCGTCACCCATTGGTTCGTGGACTGGCATTTTGAAGCATAAAGTTCGGTGATTTTGCTGTCGTCATCTTGGATTATGGCCGTCGCCATGTTTTTTTGCGACCGATAAACGGAAGTTAACATAGTTGGAATACGGAGGAGTGACAACCTGTCAATCACATTAAGCCCCCCACTTTTGTTGTATTTAAACATTTCTAGGATGGGCTGTAAGTTGCTGTGATCGTCTGGTGTCAGGTGATGTTGCATTGTTTTAATAGTCTTGCGATGGTGTCCAGACCTGAACACTGCCTTTAGCGATGCCTGGCCCGCAACAGGTGACTCTCACAAGGTGCTATTATCCATTCGCACCACATTATAGCTTAACTATCTTCCACTTTCCGCTGACAACAATTTAAGATGCATTTTTGCTATACATCCTAAAACTGCATCTCTTGCTCCGCTGCCTTTTCCAATTGCCTGTGCAGTTGTTTGGTATTTACTCTCTCGGTGGGATAGCCAGTTATTTTATGCTTTCAGATGCTTGACCTTTAAATCCCATTCACATCATCCTTCTCTCTAACACGCACTCTTCAATGGAGAGGTGTAATTGATGGCAGCCTGCTCTAGACATCCCTCAGCTTCTGAGTCTCATAACTTCTGCATGCATCCTCATATTTTTACACAATGTGCGCTGCAGGAAGTACTTAATACTATGACCTTACAGATTTTGTCATTCGGAGTACTTCCCTACTCACCCACTATTCAGAGCACACCAGTCTGCTGTGTAGTGCGTGGGCATATTGCATGCAAGATCATCCCTAGCTAGAGGCTCCTCCTACTCTGACATCACAAGACGTCACAAGGGCATCCCATTCATCAAATATACTGCAGGGAGGAGAAATGGGAGGGGGGGGGGGCTCTTTACCTAAACCGAGGGGATTAGGATTAATATCCAGAGGTTGTCCCTCCACACCACTGCACAAGGTTCCCTGCCAGACATCAAACCTTCAATCGTCGGGTCACAATGGCAATGTTTGAGGTTTCTAGATGAACCCTCGCCTGTCACACCTTGAGGGCAAGCTTACAAAGAATGAAGTCAGAAGATAACGTTGCTGACGGTAACATGTTGTGTTGATGGATGGTGAATGGCTAAAAGAATCACCTTTTCAGAGGATGGCGTTTCCAGAATATTGTCTTTTAATGTTATGCATTGCTAAATGTACAAGTTTGTTTTAAACGGATCTAATATCTCAAGTTTTTATACTGAACTACTGAGCTTGGTTGTCTGTACTTCTTCAAGCTGCTGTTTGATGCGTTTGCATTTAAACAATTTAGTCCACCAGCGAGGAGTTTGGCACTTAAACAAAGTCAAAATAAAAAATAGTTCTTGTGTCGCTGCTTGAGAATACGGTGCACAGTTTTGCTCAAACACATCTCTGTACATGGGCAAGAGTGACTTAACCTCGGATTGATGGCATCAGTCTCGTGATGAATCAATGTAAGTAGTCGGGGCCGTGGCTGGCTGCCATGTGCACATTTTAAAGATTGGTCCACATCGTCTTCCTGGCTGCCTCTCGATCGATTTGCCAGAAGGCCTCACAGCTAGTGTTTGAGTTAACAAGAACGATCTCCAGGCTAGCTCGGCACGTTGTCCCAAGAAATGAGAGGGCAGTGCTCCTCGGGCTGTATGGACAAGGTTCTCCAAGATTATATCGCAAGATGCTTTTCATCATGTTGGCTTGTGTCTTGTAACGGTTGATGTTTTATCCAGTTACATGAGATTATGCAGACATGTTTTACTCTGTTCTGTGCACACTAGCTGTTGACATGTTTTGTCAGTGCAATAGAGAGCCTGCAGATGGCTATATTTAGCATCAGAGCAACATCTGTAAATCTGTGAAAATATGGAATGTCCTCGGCTGTTCAAGAATGGTCAGGAAAATATTTGAATACTGCTGTAAAGTCGAAGAACTGCCACAGCATGTATGGACCAATATATGAGTTGCTATGCGGAGGCCAGTCCTGTCTCTGAGTTTGTTTATCTTTCTTTTGCTGTAGAGGAGAAAACGAAACGCATTTCTATTTGTGCAAACACACACACACCTTTTTAAATGTGGGGAGATCTTGTCCAACCAGCCGGTCTGTTTCATAGCACACGGACGGGTTTTGTTGAGTATTGCAAAAGACTCGTTGGTCTATTCTGCACACATGCTACACACATGCTAGCCCTCTGTTCCTTCCTTATCCGAATCAAGGGTCCAAGGATTGAGGGCGTCTTCGGCTGTACAGATTGTATTGTTTGTGATATTGTGCTATGATTATAATTGACTTGACTCTGTCATCTCACCTGGAAGCTATTCAGTTCTTTGTTGCTGTGCAGATTATACCCGGTTCTTAATCCATGTCTGCTCCTCTGTATTTGATTTTATATATATGCGTTCTAATTTTAGAGCAGGTTGGTTATTGATGTTTCTCTATCGCTCTCCTCCTGCAGTGTGACGTAGTTGGCACTGTGCTTCCTCCTCAGCGTCACAGGCTAATATGCCTGATGAAGCCTTTTTGCTCTCCTTCCCCTGTTACATTACGGCGACACTAGCCAGAGCCCCAGTGCCCATCCTGTGCTGATACTCTCTCTGGAGATGTGTCATCCTGCTTCTTTTGTGATGTCAGGAGTTCACTGTGTGCCTAAACCTAATGAGGCCGTTTCATTCAGAGAATGATTAAGAACTCTGCAGCGGTCTGGCAGTATGTTCTGAAAATCACCAGGGCTGAAGTGGTTTGAGAAGACGAGGAGCGCCATGTGACAAAGCAGATTTTTAGTCGCAAGAACGAGATTTGTTCTTTCCCTTTTGAACTCGAGCTAAATTCCCCAGATGGAGACATGTTAGATTTGTAAGGGGAACAGAAACTTAACAGTTGTCGTATTGTTGATCCAGCTCTTATTTTCACTTCTGCTTCATTATTCAGCTGGGCCCTCTGATTTCTGTCGTCAGTCTACTTGCCTATAGTCTATCTCGTTCATTTACTAAAATGATCTTCTCTCTCTCTTCCCCGCCAGCCTTGGGAGCAGCCTATGGCACAGCCAAGAGCGGGACGGGGATCGCCGCCATGTCGGTGATGAGGCCGGAGCTCATCATGAAGTCCATCATCCCCGTGGTCATGGCGGGTATCATAGCCATCTACGGCCTGGTAGTAGCAGTACTGATTGCCAACAACATCTCAGAGAGGGTCACCCTCTACAAGTGAGTTCAGCTGATCAGACATTTGTGTTGTCTACATTTCCTTTTTTTTAGTGTATTTACCAACACAAAACGCACAACACGGAGTAGAAAGAAGACTGATTACTGTTGGGCTGAACTCAACTGTTACTCTACTGCCCTGCTGCAATGCAAACTATTAGCTCCATGCATGCGTTACTGGCGCTGATCAGTTTAAATGTTTCTGTTATTGCTAAAATTGTGAACCCCGATCATCGACATCCCTTGCGCTTACGAACACTTTGTCTGTCTGTGTGTGTGTGTGTGTGTGTGTGTGTGTGTGTGTGTGTTTAGGAGTTTCCTCCACCTGGGAGCTGGGCTGAGCGTGGGCCTCAGCGGGTTGGCGGCAGGCTTCGCAATCGGCATCGTGGGCGACGCGGGCGTGAGGGGCACGGCTCAGCAGCCGAGGCTTTTCGTGGGCATGATCCTCATCTTGATTTTCGCCGAGGTCTTGGGTCTCTACGGGCTCATCGTTGCCCTCATTCTCTCCACGAAATAAACACCCAAACGTCTCCAAATACAAGATCTGTCCTTTTATGTTGCTGCTGGAGAAAAAGTGTAAAACGGGGAAAAATATTTGTAAAATTTCTTGTCACTCGAGATGAAAGGAGTGAAGGCGAGGGGGGGGAAAAAAAGATTTAAAATGGCTACATAAATATGGTCTTATCTCAACAATGTGTACAGTTGTCCCAATTTGATAGTCAACTTGTAAATGCGCAACGTAGTGATTTGTCTGTCTTGTGTGCGTGTGTTTAAAAATTGTATGAAGATTCCTTTTTTCCCTCCACTTATTTCAGGCCTCGAGGTGGCTTAGCCTCTGGTCTTAGAGAGCTGACCAGACAGGCTTTCTCTCCTCACGTATCAGCTTGGGGAGTTGACACAATTTCTGCATTAATCTTGAGGATCTATTTGTAAAGAGAAATGTATATGGACTTACTTTTTTTTTTTTTTTTTTTTTTTTTCCCCTGATTTTATTTATAAGAAATTGTTCATTGAATGCAGCAAGTCTTTAATTCCCCAGGATATATTATACATATATACAGACAACTAAATATCTACATAGATAGATTTAATGCACTGTGGGTTAATTGTGATAAGTGGTTGGAATTCCTCTGGATGTAATTCTTGGTTTAATAATTAAGAATGCCTTTAGTATGTTGCTGGTGAAGTGGGAGTTGTGTGTAGCTGTATTCTAATCATTACGCAAACATTCTCAAACTTCAGTGTTTTTCCTGTAGTACTGTTTGCATTAAAGGTGTGTGCCCCGTGTTGGGTCTCACAAGTGTAATTTCCAAATTTTCATCTCCTCTCCATCTTGTTCACCCCCCCCCCCCCTCCTCCTCATCTGTGGCTGTAAATCATCTCTTCCACATTCCAGCCATTAGGATCCTGCATGGGTTTCAGTGTTTTGTTGTTGGATATGAGGCTGAGGAGCAGGCTAGTTTCAGGAGACTTAATCCAGATCAAAGAGATGGTTTAGTGGTGTATTCTTCCTCCAAAAAAAACCAAGCTAATCAAGTTTACATGACGCAAAACTCTCAATGGTATCGTTTGTAGCATGCAGCAGGAATCCAGTGAGATTAGTGTTCAAGTTCGGCCTAGTTTCATGGACTGGTCCAATTAGATCTGGAGTTTGTTTTCTGAAAATGGAACTGCTGCTACTAAAGCACCAATCTACAATCCTGTATTACCACTGATATTGAAGTTATCCTGATGTGTCACAATCAAATTAAAGATTCCAACTTAGTTCTGTCTTCAAACACTTCAGTATTGTATATTTTAGTGACATTCTAATATACAATGGTGTCTAAAGCTGTAGTAAAAAGAAATTAGCTGAGTTGCTGTTTCCAAGTATTGTCTTCCTGTTCCACTCTGCGGTGACAGCTGGGGATCTTCACTGTGGTTGACGCCTCAAGAACTGCACACAAAGCCTGCATTGTACTGTCAGCAGATGGTGACTTTATATAAAAAGTATAAAACAAAGAATCAGTAAATAGTTTTTATATTGTGTTAAACTGTACAGGACAAATATGCAACGCACAAATCAGCATAATTATATCTGCACAACGACTAACATTTCGGCATTATACAGAGCGTACGTGCTAACATGTAAACGCGATGCAGACTTCATAAACAGTCACAGCTCATGCTGTTTGGAGGCTGTTGAGCAGAGTCTGACAAATGCTGCTGATGGCACTGAAAGTGGCGCTGTCTGGAAACGACTGGATGAAGTCTTTACCCTCTATGCTGGTGCTGAGCAGAGGATCCAGAGGCACAGAACCTGAAAAGAGAGTCGATAGTGAGAATCAAGTGGATGTTACGGGGCATTGACGTATTGCATACCTGCATGGCTAAAGCTAGGCTGCACTACAGCTGGCTTGTCGCTGCCACAGGGCAACTGATTTAGCTGCATCATTACTCAAGAGATTGATCGGCACACAAAGCAGAGATCCGCTGAGGGCAACCATTAAGTGATCTATTAATTTGATCCAGAATTAAAGATAAGTGTGTATCAGCCCCCTCGCTGAGGTACTTTTTAAACCTGCTGCTGCTTTGAAATCAGGATCGACCATTTTAGCAGCATGGCAGTTGTGTAAAATGCCTCCTAAACCATGAATGAGTGATGTGCAGCCGCAGTGCGTTGTGACACCATGTGGCTGGAAGCTAACATTACATGTAGCTCAATCCCATCTCACCGAGGAATGGTGATCCAGTCAACTTGGCCAACTCTTCACCTCCACCTTTTGAGAAGATATTGCTGCATTCCTGAAAAAGAGAATATTTATTTAAATGGCTATAATCAACTCAAAGTCTGTCAGATTTGGATGCTTATTACTGTGACTACAATTTCATTAGAAAAGTATTGGTATTACACATTTGACTTGTATGAAAGTTTACATACTGAGCAGTGTGGACAGACAAATCCGCTCATGTTCTCGATGATGCCCAGGATCCGTACACCTGTCTTTTTACAGAAGGTGATCTCTCTCCTCACATCCCCCGTGGAGACCACCTGTAGCCAACACAAGACCAGAAATAACAATTGTCACTGGATGTCATACAACTGAGCAAGTCAGTTTTCTCTTTCTCTTGAGCCAAAGCTCAATTTGTGAGCTTATTTGTCAGTGGGAGTTAGTCCTCTTTGTACCTGAGGTGTGGTGACCAGGACAGCACCATCCACTCTGTGTTTTTTAAGGTTCTCCAGCACCGCCAAATGTTCATCCGATGTCCCTGGTGGTGTGTCCACCAGCAGCACATCCAGCTCTCCCCATGCTACATCTGACACAAACTGGGCTATCATAGCTGTGGGACAGGGCAATAAAGAGATGGAAAACATATTGGACAGAAGAGAGTAAGTTTAAACAGCGTAGCACAGAGGTTTGTGTTGAGACAGATGTTGAAGCAGACAAACAGAATATTAAAATAATAGTGGACCAGACCAGTACAATTGGAGAATAGCTTACCGGTTTTCTTGGGCCCCCTCCACACCACTGCTTCATCTGGGTCCTCCAGCAGGAAGCCAATGGACATGAGGGCGAGGCTCTTCTGGGCATCAGTATAGACCGGCACCCATCCCGAGTCACACTGGTGCACATCAGGTCGGCCTACATTGAGCATGCGGGGGATGCTGGGCCCGCACAGGTCAACGTCCAGGATGCCAACCTGACGAACACCAGACTTATGTCAGTCAATTTACTTATGGTGAGAAACATATTGAATGTTTCATGTTCAAAGTAATGTGATTGTACATGCACCACAACCACATATAGACTTTACAGCTCTCCGGTATTCTGCTGCACATACACTCAGCTGGTCTGGGAGCTCACCTTCTTGCCAGCATGCCTGAGAGCCAGCGCTAGCTCTGTGGTGATGGTGCTCTTGCCCACGCCTCCCTTCCCCGACAGGACCAACACAACATGCCGGACCTGCGACAAGTTCCCGTCTACTATGGAAAGGAGAAAGGACATATGGTAAATTCAGCATGAATGCAGCAGATACTCGAATGGCTATTTCTTCAATTTAAATTATATATAGTGACACGTCGGTCACGAGAGTAGGTCATGTGAGAGAGAATCAGAGAGAAATGTCGCAGCAGTTTGTTCAGCACGTTTCATCACCCGAGTTCACAAGTTCAACGTAACTGGGTTGGAGTTCCTTTAGAATAATGTTGAACATGAGTTACTATATTAAACAATTTTATATAAACAATAGCTTCTCCGATGACATAAAAACCGGTCTGTCAGCTCCGACATTGTGACAGATATAATTAAATAATAATTAAAACTTAAACTGACTTCCAATTAGCTTCCGCTAGCCCGTTAGCTTAGCTATAAATGAGTAACATATCACACACGCAGCCGTTTTTTTTTTTTGACAGCTGGCCACTCTAAAGCACGAGGAGACAGTTCGTGTACAGATACACGGACATTTAACCTATTTGTTGACCGGTACCGCAGACCTACCATTATTTTGCTCCATATTTTGGATTTGAGTCATGCACGCTGAATTACTGGCTTAGTTACTTCCGCATGTCGTCACGCGCCACCTATCAAATCAGACAGCGAATGTTACACTGAAGTCCCGCCTCTCTTTCAGTGCCACCAATAGGCTGCCGGTGCGCACCATGGTGCATTCACTACCACCACAAACTCTCATAATGTATGGCAAAACCTGGGAAAAACGTGATTTTTGTGTTCCTGGTTGTGAAATGTTTGAGATGTCTTCGACTCTTAGCTAAGAGGATATCAATATGTACTAACAAATGACATAGTTATTTATGTTTCGGCATGATAATGTAATTGTCCAAAAATCTTGATATATGCAGAGATAATTCTTTTTTGAGTTGTGAGCCCCGCTTCAACAAAATAATCAGCATTAGTATTTACTAGTACTACACTAGAAGTCTGATGAATGGCTAATAAATGTATACTAATCATTTCTGTCACCTGACATTGTGCTTTTCTGTCCTTTTGTTCTTTCTTTCATACTTTTGTTTTCAAGCACGTGAGGGGTATTCCCCTCTTTGTTTTCAAGTCAGCAGACCCACACATGGTGTCTCCTCATCATTTGCAAAACAAAGGCCACAGTTACCCACTGAGGTAAAGAAAACCAAATAAATTAACATAAACTCCTCCTCCTTATGCGTCGTATCCAATAAGAACGCGTTAAGGGCGTGGAGAAGTAATGTTTACGTCTAGCTTGCTGCGAAGTGGGGCAGAGTGGAAAATCCACTTGTCACACGATATAGCGACACGCTGGCTCTCAAATGAGCCACTGCAAGACAGTGTATAGGACGACTACTGTAAGGTAAGAGCATAACTGCTGCTAGAATGGAGATATTCATGCTGTACTGTGGTTGACTGAGTTTACTCGCGGAGTTAAAATAGACACAACAAAACAGCAAAACATCGGCTGAAGTGTACAGTACAGGAGTCTATGTGCTGATATTTAAACATTGAGCTGATGTTTTTATATAGAATGCTTTCCTTCTGGTGTGTTTTGAATAGAAAGTTTGACCAGGACATGGGCCGTGGTGGGATTTTCAGTAATTTAATATCTGAAACATGCAAACAATTACTGTCACTGTCCCACTGCGACTGCGTTCATGTAGTATCAGTCCGAACACTGGATGACGAAGTTACAGCAGTTTGTCTTGAGGTCTCGGGTTTCCAGATGATGCATTTGCAGTATGTAGGGTAATGCCCAATTAAAGTGAGACTAGCTTCAGGCGAACTAATCTAAATTATGTCAGTTATCTCATTCGCCTGCTTGCAAAGCAGTCACCAGCTGCTGTGTTCAGTGGTGGCATTAACTATGACATGCTATCAGGTTGAGGTACAGCGTTTAGTAAAGAAATACGCTTGTTGAGGTGTCAACTGCAACTGAGGCAATTTATTATAATGATTACTGGCTGTGAAAATGGTAAACAGTTCAAAACAGATACGATTTTTTTTAATAGCAAACATATTAGTCTGATGTGTTTTTGGTCAATACATCTGGAAGCATATAGGGGGAAGTTATCAAAAAATAGCCAACTAAGTATTATACTTGTGTCAGGGATACAAATAGTTTTTGTACATCAACTTCACTGATTGTTAGTACTCGTGCATTCTTCAAGTTTATTATGTTATACTGACATTATACTGACATTCCCTGTGTCACAATGTGTCATATTTTGACTAAATAAAATATCCTCAAAAGTAGACATGCCGCACATGGAGAAGGTCTCATTTTTCTTACAGAAATCAGTAAATGCACTTTCATTGTAAATGATTCTTATGTACTAATTTAAAGAGCCACATAAGTATGTTGGGGCCGTCAACATTAAACATTTCCTGCTGCCAACTGCGGCAAATGGGGCAGATAGAACTAGGCGATCTAGCGCACAAAGATCCGTCTGTAGGTTCCACACAAAGATAGTGTGTAGCTTCACGTTGACCGTAAGGAGAGTAAAGGTTAGTGAACACACTGTTGAGCTGAGAAAAGCCCAGAGTGAATGTTTGCTATTCACAATTTGAACTGACTTAATTTCCATTGCCCGACAAGTTTGTGAGACATTGGAGAAAAATGCTGAGAATCCCAGAGAGCTCACAACTTTATCAGTCGAACCACATAAGCTACCATCTTCAAAATTAGAAGGAATGCAACCAATTTAAGGTGATGTACTCTAATCTTTGATTTAGGATATGCCTTCATTTGTTGCAGACCTCATTTTGCAGTTAAACTCATATTCAGCTGAATCTGTTTACCGTTAATTCCCAGAGAGTCCTCTTCTATTTGAAAAAGGGAGTTATTTCTGTCTCTCTCCCTTGAACACAGCCTTCTAGGTTTCAAAAATGTGTAAGTAGATATGCACTTATATGTGTCCAAAAATAATCTGACCTTAGCAAACAAAAAAGCCGAGAATCAGGAGTTCAACATTGACCTTACCCGACATAAATAATAAGTAGTAGAGGGCCTACTGCACACATGCCAGCTGGTCGTAAAGGTGTTGGGTCTGCCGTCCACAGAGCCGCCATGCTGAGAAGAGGCAGGAGCGGCCGGGCTCGGCATTCGGCCTGGAGCGAGACGCGGCCAGAGACAGACGCCATGGAAGTGATCCAGACGTCGGACAGGCAGGAGTGGGAAGGCCAGACAACGACACAGGTGAGACGTTGGGGTTTTGTGGGGTGAAAAGAAAAGTGGAGGAAGGTGCGGAGCGGAAAAGATTGAATTTTAAAAGGATCGGGAAATACATATGAAATGTGTTTTTGGTAATACTGGATAAAGAGACACTTATAATCATTACTTACTTGATGTAAGAGGATACGAAACCCAAAGTTTGTGTCATCAGACCAAATGTGTTACGACCAGATATTACAGATAATATTTCTACCTGAGTACCAGTAGTTTTCCACTGGGACTGAAATGGCTGTGTGTAAGAGATGGTCAAGTCTTCATAGGCAAGGAAAGGGGGCACAGTATTTTTGGAAGGGGTCTCATTTTACTTGCTAGCACACATGACGTCTGTAACCAATAGGAACCATGAACAGCTTTTAGGTAAAAGGCTCTCTTGTTGAGTCTTTGAAACATGGCTCTCATTTGGCTCTTTGGATTATAGATTATTTAAGATTTAGTGATTTTTTTCCATCCAGGCTCTTCCATGTTGCTCTTTCTTGCCGCCGACAAGAGGTTATTGTTTACAAAAAGGCGTCAGGGCTTCCAGTGGAATTTATATAAAGCTGAATACAATCCTCAGGTCCTCCACTGGATCTAATTCCTTTCTCTGCTACCAAGCCAACATCCCTGGACCACGGCCACGTCTATGAACTTATAAGATGCTGTTTGTGTCAACCAGATCAGCGACGTGGAGTCCGAGATGGATTACCTGGAAAGTCCTCAGGCCGTATCCGAGGCGGTTGCCTTGCCCAGCACAGATCCGGTGATAGGGGAGTCTTTCTGCCAGTGTGACCGACAGGAAGAGCTCAGCCCTGGCTCTGGGGTCACCAGTGACTGCCTCTGTGGGGAGGAGGATGAGGGTGAGCAAATGCGGATGAATACAGTAATACACCATATGAACACAGCAGGATACGCTGTAAATCGGCAGAAGTGTGGTGTAGAAGCTGGGCCGACTAATATATCAACATATGGCTTTCCCAGTCCAATAGTTGTTCAGATATTTCAATTAACAAAGTATGAAATAATAACTATCCAGTTACTATAGACGTCCGTGCGTTTGTGTTCCCAGGTTTTGACTGGGAGTGGGACGAGCACTTCAAGTCTTCCGGAGCCTTCCTCAGCTGTGACAATAGGAAGGTGAGCTTCCACTCAGACTACAGCTGTGGCACAGCTGCCATCCGTGGCACCAAGGAGCTCGTAGACGGCCAGCACTTCTGGGAAGTCAAGATGACCTCTCCCGTCTATGGAACCGATATGGTGGGTCACACTCCCTTGTGTAATACTGAAGCTATTGTAGCAGTGGCCTTGAGATGTAATCGGATAGTGTCTGGTGGAGATCTGGAATAAGGCTACTTAACCTGTTTTGATCATGTTTGTACTGTTTTGTTGGTGTAGATGGTGGGAATCGGAACTGCAGAGGTGAATATGGAGAAGTTCAAATTCAGCTTTGGCAGCCTCCTGGGCCACGATGAAGACAGCTGGGGACTCTCCTACACAGGTTAAAGAGGCGGAATACAAGTTTAAAATATACCATGAATTATCAGAGTGATATGTGAAACAGGACGGTGACTTTATACCAGTTGTAAAAAGTTCAACAAAATACGACCCCTAGATTAGGAACCACTGGAACAAAGGACTAAACAACCAAGCTGTATATCAACAGAGAAGGTTTAGAACAGGGACACCCGTGGGTTTCTCCACTGCCCCGCCCCTTGTATGATGCATACAATCTAATGATGTAATATATGATCATATATATATATATGAATACCTTTATTCTTATTTGATACTTTAAATTCATTTCACTGAAAATACTTCTTCGCCGTCACATAAGTAGGATTTAAAATGCATGACTTGGAGCAGTGGTTCCCAAGCTTTTTTATTAAAGGATACATCCTGTTTTTTACCTCAATCTGTTCAAAGGACACCTCCAGCACAAAGGGGACAAAGTGAAGTTCTCCTCTCGGTTTGGCCAGGGCTCCATCATAGGAGTGCACCTGGACACCTGGCATGGTACCCTGACCTTCTACAAGAATCGGCACTGTATAGGTGCGTGTTTCCCTGTAATTGAAGCGACATAAAACACAAGAAAAACTGCATTTTAGTTATGACTGCCCCGTGGTGTTTTCAGGTGTTGCTGCCACAAGGCTGCAGAACAAGAAGTTCTACCCCATGGTGTGCTCCACAGCAGCTAAAAGCAGCATGAAGGTGATCCGTGCCTGCTATACACCCACCTCCCTGCAGTACCTTTGCTGTGCCCGGCTCCGCCAAATGTTGCCCTGCTGCCCCGACGTACTTAATGCTATAGAGCTGCCCCCAGGCCTGCGCACCGTCCTCCACATACAGCTGGGCTGGGTCTTCTCCCTCAGCAGCAGCCCAGAAGCCTCGGAGCAGCACGAGGACTTGCTGGAGGATTCCCACGAGGAGATGAACCTGCCTTCCAGCCCCATCCCGAGCCAAGTCTCCACCCTGAGTGCCTGCACCTCCCCGAGCCCCTGCACCAGCCCGTTCCTTGACGCAGTCCCATACCACTGCCCCTGTCAAATGTCACCTCAAACTCGTCCCTGCACTTGGCACTACCCTCCGAGTCCTCCCAGCAGCGACTACGACAGCTGCAGCTCTGAGCCGGAGGACTACCAATGCAAAAGATGCCGCTGGACATAACTTTGCAGTCAATACGTATTTGGCAGACAGCTATTCTACCGTTGCCATCGACATCTCCTGATCACGGAGAGAAGAGCAATCTCATCTTTAAGCCAAATGTCTTAATCCAGTTTGAGTGGATTGAGGAGTGAGTAAGTGTGCAGTGAGTGAGACATTTAATCAAGATTAGACGTTAGAGTGACATCACGGTTATTCATTCACATTTTAGCCAATTTCTATCATGAGGTTATTAATAAAAATGAGAAGAATCTACCAGTCACTGTCTTTGGAAGGCCTGAGGTTTGCCAGATTAGACTCCGACAAAAAACACATTGGAAATCTTGTGTTTTTTATCTCAGGGATAGACTCCGGGGAAAAATTAGTTGCTTTTTTGATATCCTGGAACTTACATTTTGTAAATGTGTTTCGTAATCAACATTTGGCTTTTTTTTAGGATTTTTAATTTTCTTTAAATTTACAGTTTGTTTATTACCTTTCTTACTCTGGAAATTCTCTAAAATAAAACTAAAAAAACATTTTGTTGCATCTTATTTTATAGGCTATTCCACAAGTAAACAAAACAAATGTAGTTCACCGAGGTTCCTCTAACAATACATCTTGCATTTGTACATTTGTTCATCAAACAAAATATTGTATCAAGGAAGTACACATCAAATAGTTTGTTATTTTACGAAACATTCTATTCATCAAATCGGTTGAAGTTCAGATGAGTATGAATGGTGCTTTACTGGAAGGTGAACATGATATCTAAGGCATACGCTTAGCTTGTAAGCATCAACATTAACAGCCAAGTGGGGGACAAAGTGTCATTAGAGAACCAGATTAATCCTTGCTGTCATCCGTCCATCTGGTTCTCAAGAGGACAGATCAGTCCAGGACAAGCTGGGGGTTGTGGGCAGTGAAGCAGCGGTAAACTCTAGCGGATATCTCCGGTCCTACTCGTCTCTCTTTACCTCCACTTTTTATTAAAAGGCCAGCTAACAGCCCCTTTCTGTCTTCTTCTGACTCCAAGCTCTGGTACGCCTAAGAAACAACATTGGAAATTGGTTAATTTTTATACATCCTGAAAGGTTTTTTAGTTATAAATAGCAGTAGAAAGCAACATAGTCTGCTTTGCTTTTTATTGCTTTACGATAAAGTGGGAATTTAGACCACCCTCTTCATGCACTGAGCTCTACAACACCCTACTGAAGCATAGCCAGGTGGTGTACCTGCAGCAGCAGCTGAGGAGACGGGTAGGCTGCAGTCACAGCGGAGGCCACAGCAGGACTAACTCTGTTCAGCTGCTGGATCTGCCTGCTCCAGACCTGGATCAGCCCCGAGCCGTCCCTCTCCACCCGAACCCCGCTGGCCCATGAACCGTCCACACAGAAGGGCAGCTCTGCTCGCTCTGTCATTAGTCTGGAAAGACATGGAAGGACATCTTAAAAGTGGGGTAAGGTCAGTCAGGTAAGTTTTCCTTGTCTGCTAATGCGAGATAATGACTGAAGTGGCTTCGTACTTGAAAGGGCGCTTTGATAAGGCCTTGGTGACAGCACACACATGGTTAGTGACCTCCTGCCAGCCATCCAGGAAGACTAGGGTGATATTCTTACAGAGCTGTAGGTACACAAGAACCTGGAGAGAAATGCAGACATTACCAAAGACGCCCCTCCTAAATCACTACATCAAGTGTGCAGGAACGTGTAGGACAAGTATGGACAGTGTTTAGCGCTCTCTCACCCTCTGAAACATACAGGTGAGTGGCAACATCTACAAAAAGAACATGCAAGATCAACTAATCCTCAGATTCAAAGTAAACTGACCTCCTTGACGTCCAGGTTCTCCATCCCTGATTTGGATTGTAGCATCTCATCTAGTAAATACACACCACAAGCATCTGTCCTGTTGGTAAGTAAACCAATACATCAGATCAGAGTACATGAAAGCTAACACAGAACAAGTGTGTAAAGTTAGTAAATGGGAAAGTAAATAAGAGTATCTATCTATCTATCTAACAGAGGCCACAATCACGGACATATACACTAACCTGTAATCTGGCTGAGAGTCTGTCACTAAGAGAGTGACCACCTTCTTGGCATCCCGGTTGAGACACTCCAATATTGGACTGAGGAAAGACCCCATCACTGTCTCCTCCCCCTCACTGTCTAGCATCTGCAGTGGCAACACAATAACACAGAGGAGGGACATCATGTGTAGACTGGCATCAAAGTTAAATTATTACACCTTCAAAAAGGTTGATTACTTTCTTCACAGCGATCACCATGTCCACGAAGTCATTCAGACCCAGCACCAGAGCCACCTGCTCCTCCTCCACCGATCCATCTTCCCCCTGCAAAACACAAAACAGTAATGACCCCACTGGAAAATGTAGAAAAGGTACGAATATGTTAGTAAGTAGAAATACAGCAAATTAATAAATGTAATGCAGCCAGAATATCACAATTGATTAAATGAATGTATGATTTTACGAGAAGCGTGAGGTGCCTACCTGAGGTAACTCTCTGATCCAGGCGATGCTGTGTGGGACCTGCTGGCTCTCAATGGTATACCTCCACTCAAAGGCAGCCAGGGTGTCCAGCAAGATGTCGGAGCCATCTTGTTGCAGAAGGGCTGGGGAAGAAAAGCACACACAGGCTTCTAGATAAACACACGTGTGCATGAAGCATTTCAGCCTTATCCTCTTTGTGGAAGTTGTACCCTGTTGTCTTTAAGTGGTCCTTGTTGGTTCAGACATTGAAGCTTAGGCATAGGTGGTAAATATGAATTGTCCTGCACGCAATTGTCATTGCCGAAAGTTTGCACTTACTTCCTTACATATTTAATATACATTAAAAACTGACAGCCTTCCAGCTATTTTATATATGTGTCAAAATCAACACAAGAATGAATGGAAAAGTACTTGCATTTTGACATTTCATAAAATTTAAATATCATACTTTTAATCAATGTCCCCTTTGTGTTTACAGTATGTATATTTCGTAGCATCAGTTAAAAAAATCAATCTTGTTGACAAGCTGTAGTAATCTCTTCGATGGTGGGATAAAATTCCGACAGCACCTGAAGGCAGCATGGTGTACCTGGATCTACGCAGACAGTCAGAGACTTCAGGCAGTTCTCTGGCCGGAGACACTTCACGTTCTCCGCAGCCTCTCTCCTCCTCTGCTGCTCTTGTCTCCTCTCCTTCTTCTCCTGGGCTCTTGTTGCTCTCTGCCTCTCTCTCGCCTCCTTCCTCTCCCTGACTGCATGTCTGTCCGCCTCTATCTCTTCCTTGGTGCGGCGTTTTTTTGCAGGGCTTGGTGCGCACCGTCGATCTGGTCGCGGGGGAGACAAAGCAGACGCTTGATTGCAATCCGGTGTCGTGGGTGACGACGATGGGAGGGTTTTGCACGTGTGGTCTGAACTCTGATCCTCTTCTGTGCTGATCGTTGCTTTTTGACCGCTCTCATCGCGGTTTAAGTCAAGTTTAGTCTCAGCGTCGCTGTCCTCAGATTCAGATATTTCCCATGTTTGAACTCTACGCACCGCAGACATTTTATATGTTTAAAACATAATCAAAAACGCGTTGGATCCGCAATGTTTACATGACCTCGATGGTGTCCGCTGAGGGACAAAAGACGATAAACGCGCCTTTACCTGGTAGCTCAGTAGAAACCTTTTAAAAAGAGACAGACCAAAGAGTAGATTATATTTATTTTAACCAGAAGGCAGAGAGTCTCTGCTGTCTGAAGCCGCTTATATATGTTGGTTCTATTACATTTAGTCTCGGGACAAACTATATAGAAAAATAACATCCTTAAGAAGGTGCTGAACACATTTTAAGACTGCAACGCAACCTAGTCATACAGAAGGCTATACGATTTATTTTGTTTTATATAAAAATGTAAATATGCAGATATTGTATCATAAAGAGTCAGATTACAGTCGTAGCCATAGTCAATTTGATGCGTTTGGTTGACAAGAATAAACATAATGTTTTAGGGTGTCTCCGAAATTAATTTGGTAAAACATGTGTAAACTTGTAGGCTACATTTTAATAACATGGATCTTTCTTTATTTGTAATTTAACTGAAAAATATTGCTATAACCAAATTAATAGTAAAAACACAATATACCAACACAATTTAAATCCGTTAAAGACATTTACTATATTGTGTTAAAGTATTTGACTATTAAAAAAACCCAACAATTTATTTCATTATACATTTTACGTTTTATGGCAAAATTCACAAACGTGTAGATTTATTGAAAACACAATTATGTTCACATGTACACATTTATTTTATTATTCTGGTAATGTTTACCATAGAAAATACAATAACAGGAAGATCTAGAAATCAATAAAGTTTGTAGGGTACAAAAAGAAAAAGTGCAGGGTCGCTGCGCGAGTAGATTTCCAAACAATCCGCTGCGTCCTCGCGCATCAGAAGGTCCATCCATACAGCTTGAAGAGCTGCGGTCTACGGACAGCAGTCAGTCGGAGCGGACCTGAACGCATCCTGCTAACCAGTCTGTTCATGTAAACAACACAGAGGAATGGGATCTGGAAGTTTAATTTTATAGCCACTGTCTTTTTACTCACTATGACGCAACCGGCGGAGAAAGGTACGTCTGAATAGAGTTTTGTATTTCCACAAAATACTCTTGTCAACAGATTTAGCGAAGCAGAAAACCAGACGTGTGTCTTGTAACCCTTCATATACTTCCCTGAACAACTGGGCCACTGAAAGACCAACTCAGCAGTTTATGCTTTAGTGTTGGTTAAGAGCTCATGTGACTAAATAGGACGTTGCCAAAACCCCTGACGTTAGCAGTAACGTTTTTGCTATCTCATGAATGTATTCTGACAGAAGCTAAGCTAAATTCAGCCCATGCTCCAATGCTTTCACACAAACACAGTTGGTTTTCCCAGTGAGGTAAAAACACAAAAAAATCCCCTGAAATGCATCTGCAGCTCCACTCTCAGAAATGTGCTTTTGTTATTGTTGCAGAATGAGAAGATTGTGTGAAATCCATGTCTGACACTAATGATTATTAGTTAATGTCTTCAAACATGTCTGGAGGGGATCTTTAAAGCGTTCTAGACAATTTGTCTTTTTAAAAGCACTGTGTTAAAACCAATAATTAATATAAGACATATGGATATAAGTTTTTTTTCCATCGGGGTGCTCACATACTTTCTGGTTGGAAAATATTCTGCAGATAAATTTAATGACAATGTCACCGAACATGCTGCTATTGGTGTTTTCATGTTTCAGACTGACTTTCACATTGAGAAACTGTTATTTTCAACAGTATATTACCGCTTTGTGGTGCTGTTCTTCAACTGTCTGCTGACATTTGGCTCTTACTTCTGCTTCGACATCCCGAGTGTGCTGCAGGATCAGTTCCAAGGGGTAAGTAAGAGGCAGCAGGGCAGACCGCCTTAAAGATACCATCCGTATCGAATGGTTTCCCCACAATAACTCAACAGCATCTTTGCAGTTTGGCGTCAACATTACAACTGTGTCCTCAGTTTGTGGCTGGTTAGATAATAACTTAAATCACTGGTTTTCCCCACATCTGGCAGAACCTGACATGTTCCAATGCGACAGTGATCAATGGCACAGTGGACTGTGTGGTGGGATTGGGGATGAACCCTCAGCAGTACAATCTTCTTTATGCCATCTATGCTTGGACGTAAGTGCACACACACACACACACATCGACTCTGCAGTGATAGGCTGACAATGGCTTATCAGAAAACGGCTACAGTGTCTCTGTTCTCCTATCAACAGGAATGCAGTAGTGGTGATCATGGCTGGCTTCATGATTGACAAATTAGGAAACCGCTGTAAGTCAACGAAAATAGATAAATATCTTTCCCGCAAACCTAACAACTGATTTGTGGTAACTCGTGGTAAATCGTTTGACCTTTCCTCCTCTCTGCAGTTGGAGTGTTTCTGTTCTCTTTCCTGTGTGTTTTGGGCTCGTCACTCTTTGCACTGGGTTCCCACTTCAAAGGAACTCCCTATCTGCTGCCGCTTATGCTCACAGGGCGACTACTGTTTGGATCAGGCAATGGATCTCTGACCAGTAAGGCCTCCTTCCGGAAGTCGCATACTTAGCAGTGTCCACTCGGAGGAATATTCCTTAACTGCTCTTCTCATTTCCTTATAAGTTGTTCAGAACCGCATCACAGCCTTCTGGTTCAAAGGGAAGGAGCTGGCCTTGGCTTTCGGTGTGACTCTGGCTTTCTCTCGCCTGGGTTCAGTCCTGAACTTCTTCCTCACCCAGAGGTTTGAAGAAAAGTACGGCATGCAGTGGACACTCTGGGGTGGTAGGTAATACATGCAGGGGAGAGAAACCTCAAGGTTTATGGCACGATTGAATAATAATAAAATGTAAAAAGTAAGGGTGTTTTTCACATGATGTGTTCTAGGTGCACTACTGTGTGTGCTGGGCTTTGTATCTGCCGTTCTTGTCAGTGCCCTGGACAAGATCGGTATGAGGCAGCTGGGTCTGGATGGCGCCATCCAAGAGGAGTCCCGCAAAGTGGTCCGAACTGTACCTTTTTAAATATAACCTGTTTACGAAGTGCAAGGATGGTGCAGATGGAGGATCTGACCTCACTTATTTTGTTTAAATGTACATTAACGTCGTGTGTGTGTGTGTGTGTGTGTAGAGGATTCAGGATGTGAAGCTCCTGTCGCTAAGATACTGGCTGCTGGTTCTCACCATCATGTTCTTCTACAACGGCATCTTCCCCTTCATCGCTGATGCCAGGTACAGCTATCGACACAGGTTTAAAATGAGAGTGTTGAAGGCCAGAATACAATGTTATGTTTAGGATAACAGACTTTTTTTTTTAGAAATAATACTTTTTAGGATGTGTATATATATCATACAATCACTGTATTCTAATGAACCCAGGGCATAAACACTTAAAAGAATAATTACGTTTTTAACATACGGCTGTATTTGTTTTCCTGTCCAGTAAGTTTATTCAGGATAAATACGACGGCTACAGCCAGAAGGAGGCGGCCTACGTCGCCGGGGCGGTATATGACAGCTCACTGGTCCTCTCAGCCTGCGTGGGCATTCTCATAGTAAGCGTCTGTAACCTAAAGCTGTTCCTAAGCAGTCTTATGGAGGTAAGTTGGTGCAACACGCGACCCTCTCTTGTCTTTGTTCCAGGATTATGTGGGGCTGCGGGGCGTGTTTGCACTGGCCTGTGCCATCCTCACGCTGCCTGTGTTTGGACTGCTGGCCTTCACCTTTGTTGCCCCTCTCGTGTCCACCATATGGCTGGGAATCACTTACTCCTTTGCTGCTGTGAGTTTATGTCAAAGCCGTTGTTTAAACATTTTCATTTCTAACGCCTGCTTTCTCTCAGGTACGGTGACCCCCATAAGTGATCGATTTGTCTTATTCTTTCTCAAATCGAATGCTTTGGGGCAGGGAAATTAATTGTCAAAAGCATTCGCTTTCTATCTTAATTCAAACTATATGTGCTGTATTCCAGTCCAGCATGTGGCCGTCTATTCCACTCGTGGTGCCTCAGGCGACTCTGGGAACAGCCATGGGTCTGGCCACCTCCATACAGATGGTGGGCATTGGGTTGTCAAATCTTGTCGTTGGGCAGATTTTGGGCACCAAGTCCAGGTAAAGAAATGCTTCAGATAAAGCATCTCATTGCAGTGCACTTGATGGGCCATGCTGAATGTGAGATCGTTACTTACCTTCAGTGCTTTCTCCATTCCCCGGCCAGCGAAACTAAGATTCCGTTGTGGCGTTGGCAAAGGATGATGATCTTCATGTTGGCCAACACCGTCAGCTGCATCGTCACCGCAGTGCTGCTCAACATTGTTGACCACAGACAGGTCAGACATCTCACAGCCCGTGTACCATTTTTATATATAAATGTGCTGTTGTCAGCTGACTACAGCACAGGATACGGTACAGTGTGTTCAGTTAATATTTGCTGTTCTGCAGGGCGGGACCCTGAACAAGACAACCAAGAGGTCAGGCCCGGCGGAGAGAGACTCCGACAGAGAGCCGCTCAACCAGGGAGAGGAAGAGCAAAATGAGGATGAGGAGGCCGACGAGGCGGTCAGATCTCGTTCTGAAAACTCCTAAGTTTTGTGAACTTCTTACTACAGTGAAGACTTTTCTCTTTTTATATATGTATTTTACTTGTAACACTTCAAATGGGACTTGATTTATTGCAGGCCTCAATGATAATCACGTTACCTCTCCGTTCTGCGGTTGCTACAGCAGATACTGGAGCAGTTTAATGAATCGGAATAAATACATCTCTGTTAAACAGTATTTACACCCAGATGGTGAGGCTACAGTGTATTAAATGTACAACAACTGTTTTTTCAGTAACACAGGTAAGTAAAACATCAAACTCTCTTAAAGCTTTAGCTTCCAACTGTACTGCCATAACTGACTGTGTGCACCTTATTCAGGTTGCTAAATAATACAGGAAATATTAAAAATAAATAAAAGCCCACCTTTTATGTGGATGGTAGATGTAGTCAAATGAAGCAATACATTCCTTTGTGCAGCTGCAAATTCAGCACACACTATCTGTATTTCTTCTTCCATCTAATGCCGTCGTTTGACGTGACGGTGACGTAGTTTTGATGCAATGAAGAACACTCTGCTTTGTCAATTAATACAGCACTCGCTGGCGAATGTATTGCTTCAATTGACCATCAACAATCATTGGGCATCCACATAAAACATGGACATTTTTCCGTTATAGAAATGTAATGTTTGTTTTAAATGATTTTGTAACGAAACAGTGAAACATTTGTCTCCTACTTGTTTGTTCATTGTTCGAGATTTCACAATGTAGAAGGGAATTTTATATTTTTCACATTGACAAAACAGCAAAAATAAAACGCTGTTCACCTTTTCTGCAATCTGTGTTACACCCACACATTTTCTTGGTACCATCTGCAGCTCCCCTCGGCTTTACAGAGCTTCATAACCAGTTTCAGCTGATTGTTTAGCTTCATGGCCCACAGCGGTACTGTTTTGGTTCACCCTTAATGCTCAGATAGCAATGTTTTCACTGAAAAAAGTTATAAAGAATCCACTGTAAACTACCTGCTCAGCACCAAACGACAGACAGATATAGTTGGCGATTAGCTGGTGAACATAAAGAGCCAGTTATTTCCCTTCACTCGTCATATGCAATATCAGATTGACCAGCATGATTTTCTTCTAAATAGATCACAGCATGTTTAGCACATTACAGCCAGTAGGTAGAGCTCTTTACACACTTCTTTGCAATGGCTACGACTGCTGCTCCTGTAGTAAGCACGGTATTATAGAGTGTTTGTCCTAATGGCTTTTACTTCAGCTCTTCAGGTCCCATATTCAACCTCTAGTTTTACTTACATTAATCTTACTAACTACTTTCTTACTGATCAGAGAGATGTTTGTGGGTCGTCTGGGTACTTTAGGGGAGCCAGTCATGATAACAGTGCTTCATATCACATCAAGGGGAAAGTATTTTGTAGAGACATGTTACCTGTTAAAGCTTGTGTTTTCAATCAACTTCCGCCCGTTTTTTCGCATATAGCCAGCACACTGTAGACGTCTGAGTAGTTGTTTAGCATTGAATTTTGATTAAAAGTAGATTATAAAGTGCCTTAACTGATCGAGACCGACTGTCTGCTCTTGAATAATGCCGCGGTCCTTAAATACTTCTGGACTCATGATGCCTCCTGTCGCTGACTCTGTTCCAGGTTAAAGCTTCCCTGCTCTACAGCTAAGCGTTCAAAACACTGCAGTCCATGCCAAATAGCACAGTAGATTACAGAGGGGGAAAAAAAATCAATCACATGTACAATATTTGCAGCAGGAGGGTTATGAAAAGTTCCGGAAAAAAGTATTTTGTGTCTAGCTGGTCCTTTTATTCAGTCATAATCCAACCAAAGATCAGATATACATTAAATCTAATCAAATGATTCTATCTGCGTACATAACTGGATGATACAATAGAGCTCATAATCTTCTTAAGCGAGTGCCCCAGTCACTAGATTACTAGAATAATGCACGAGTCAAAGTCACTGGAATAGAGGCCAGAAGGTTACCTGAGACTGTCTTGAGCTCAGATCCTCCGTTTACCATGAAGATAAACCCTAAAAATATACCTTACTTAATCTTCTTAAGGGGCGTGAGGTAGGAGTTAGTCTTTGACAGCCTGATGGACAACACACACACACGCTGAGTCAGTCACAAAGTCTTAGAGGGCAACTTAACACCCGACATACAACAAGAGGGTTTTAACGTCTTGAGATTTGCTTCATGGTTTCTCACTTGGTGTCAGTCTGCAGCCTGAACTGTGTGGCCGAAAGCCTCGAGGACACGAGCATGTCGGGCCTCCTCAACCTCAGCAACCTGGGCAGGATCTGCGGCTCCGGCAACAGCAATGAAATGGTAGTTGTGGACCGGGTCAAGAGGAAGAACTCTGTCAGGCGCATGTCAATTATTGAAGATGGTGAAGTTGCAGAGATTCTCTACCTCATTCCTAAACAGTCCATGATGGAGCAGCTGCCCTTCATCAACCCCAACGACTACATCCTGTGTGAGAAGTTGGCCAGTATACCTGCAGAGGTGTCAGGTAAAGAATAGTTTACTTCCTTATGTGGTTCGCATGGGTGATATCTTGGTATTTTATTGACTTGTCATTACAGTTTATAATTTGGCCATTTTGTTCGTGTGCCATTAATTTCCAACTTGGAAAAGGCTAAATATGAATTAGATTTAACACGTCAACTGTCTGCTTTATTCTTATTTAATAACGACACATCGAGCTGATAGACAAACAGTGTTGTAGACATTTAATATTATGTCTGTTCGTTAACTGGCATTACTATTCATCACCACAGCTCCTCATTGCTGTGAGTATTAAAGGTTTTCGGTCAATCGGTCTATAATATGGACATGTGAGAAATCAATGACTGCTGTCAACCCTTTGGTTTAACAGCTGCCTCTACACACACTTTTAATCACACTTACCGTGAATATTGTGCCTCATTTATCAGGTTTAATTACTTCTATGCAGACTATAGAAGCCTGTGTGTATTAGGAGACTACTCATATTCAGTTTGGTGGTTACAAATAGTCACAAAATGCTAAAGGGTTTTTGAAAAGGACAAAAAATATCAGCAGCAGGTAATGTTGTCGCTTAATCATCTGTACTGAGCAATAGTCCCATCATAGACACAAATATATTATGGCAATTTTCTGCAAAGTAACAGAAATATGTGTCTCGACATTTTTAAATGCACCACCAATGAGCTGGTTATTGTAGGTAAATGTGATCTGAAGCAGTTTGAAGCGGAGGAAGCCCGACAAGGTTAATGTGACTTACCTCAAAAAACTAAATAATTAATAAATAATACACAACTATTATCAGCATTACATGTCTGGAGTTCAAATACTCTCTTGTTCAGCATGTTTCAGAAGCACAATGCCATTCCTACTGTCCTCTTGGAGAACACGCACACACACGCACGCACACACACACACACACACACACACACACACACACACACACACACACTCCTGCTCTCTGTGTTTTGGACCACCCCCTTTCCCTTGGACCAGCAGTCCACTTAGTTCCTGTCCTCACTGGGATCCGCTGCAGTGAGACCAACAGACGAGCAGACACCAACTGTCATGAAAGAGAAAGGTAGACACATCTAAGTGTGTGTGATTGTGTGTGTGGTATCGGATGCGAAAGAGAGGGTGTGTCTGCTTGTGTTATATGTCTGTTTTTATTTACTTATGATTTGTTTACAACTAGTGATGGTGGCATTTGATTGATTTAAAGGTCAAAACTAATTATGACTTTGAATTAACTGCTCTGGCAGGTAGTGTTATACCATTATTGGTTTAACATTGTTTTGTACTGTACAGTGCTGTTTAAACTACATCTTATTTGTAATCTGCGTATGTGAAGCCTGGAAACTAAAAGCAACATTTTCACCTGTTAAGATTAGCAAACAGTGATGATTCTCAAACTTTTCCCCAAATCTAGAAACGGAATAGGAAGATAAATAGTATGGTTGCCAAGTAGGGGAAAGTGTAATCCCAGCTGTTACAGCTAATCGTAGAGCACCGTATTGGGTTAAGACCAGCATGTGATTTTAGCAATAACTCTGAATTTAGCAGTGTTTCTCTCTGGTTATTCTATTTTGCAGCCACAGGGAACAGATAGATAGTCTATTGTGCCGCTGTAGTGACTCTTACTCAGTAAGAGTGGAGAAAGTTATTACATGACCTCATTGTATGGATTACTTAGTACATAAAATTAGAATGAGGTATATTTACATCTACATTACAAAAACATTCTGAAGACTTAACATAGATACTCACTCCTTACACACACAGATGCAGATTTTCATAGCTGGAGATACTGGGTTGTGTGATTAACTGTCCGTCTCAGGTTTCTCACCATTTGCTCTCTTTCTAAATCTACCATTTGCTAATACTTCACACCATATCAGCTTCACATTCTGAGCAAGATCAAGAAAGAACAGAAGGCATTTTGGATTCCTAAAATACTTCCATCTGAGGACTCCACACATGAGTTTTACCACTGACAAGCACATAAACTAAAAGTATACTGTACAAGGGATATGCTTCATATACAGGATAATACCACACAAGTGCTGTATTACTTTATACACGTAATACAATACCTGTCCTTCTCCATCATTCAGTTCACAACAAAACAAAACCTTCAAACATTTTTAATCAGCAGGAGTATTTCTGTGATGTTGTTGTGTTGGCATCAAAGCTCTGTCATTAACAAATATCTGAGGCGTTCTGGGACAAAGGACAGTTTGGCTGGGTTTTCAGTCCTTGTTGGAGTCCCATGGCCAAAAGAATGGGTTACATTCCTGCTAGTTTGGCAGTAATACCACCTATCTTTCACAAGTTCTTTTGAGATGAGATATTGAGCGATTGCTAACGCACAATGTCCTCCTACTGCTCTTCTATTGGCAGGAATAATCTAAAATGACCAAACTGTTTTTTTTGCTTCCATTTTAAGCTTTCAGTGAAATGTGAAATGTGTGGATACACAGACTTAATTAGACTGCTCCAGGATGTTAAGATATTGATGACTAGTATTTGTCTAATCACTATCATCACTAATGCAGTCTGCATTACAGCAGCTGTGGAAGTTCTTAATCCCCACAGCACTGCATTATGTCTTCCCAACTGGACAATCAGTTACAGTGAGCTTTATATTAACCTTTTTGGAAGCTTGGTCTCTTAATCTAGTCTGTTACTTTATGTGTGTTACCATAGTGACAAATCTCTCCTGTTGTGGGGCAGACATACCGATGTACTTGACTCAGTTTTCTTAGTATTCATGAGACTGAGTTGGGAAACGTTTGAAAG